ATACCACTACAAGGCTCTTTCCACTTTCTCCTTCTGCTTTGGCTTCCTGAGTGCTAAGAGGGTCCTTGGGCAGAGGCTGGGGTGCGAGGGAGCCTGTGTATATGGGACACAGTAGTTGCCAGTGACAGGGCCTCCTGATCTGGCCTGAGGAGCCAGGGATTTACCCAGATGCAGTGGGGAGCCCCTGGGAGCCCCATGAGGGAGCAGTGTGGTCAGACCTGCACTCAGTGTGGACCATGGAGGCCAGCTCAGGCTCCCAGCTTGGGCACTGCTAATACCCGACACCCTCTGTCCGCCTCAGCAGGCTGCCTCCCAGCATGGACCCCACCCCAGCATCCACCATGGCCAGGCACATCCACCCTCGGGAGGCACCACAGGCTGGGTGCAGAGCCACTGAAGAGCCTCCAAAGATGTCCACCTCTGCCCCAGGGGTGGGGCATTGGGGGAGAGCTTTCCCACCCTTGTCAGGGACCCCTCTGTGTCCAGCCTGCCCAGGGCTCCCCAATAGTCTGGGTCCCCCAAGGAAGGGACAGTTCAAGGTGTAGTTCTGTGATTGTTAGGGGTTGAATTTTGTATCCCCCAAAGATATGCTGTAATCCTTGTTAGGGACCTTATTAGGGTTTTACAGAGCTAATCAAGATAAAAGGTCATTGGTGGGGGGACCCTAAACAAATATGTCCTTATAACAAAAGGGAAAATTTGGACACATAGACATGCACTTAAAGAGAACATCCTATGAAGACAATGAGTATGCTGTCACATGCCAGGAAATTACCAGAAGCTGGGAAAAAGGCCTGGAGCAGATCCTTCCCTGTCACCGTTAGAGGGAGCGTGGCCCTGCTGTCACCTTGATCTCTGACTGCAGGCCTTCAGAACTGTGAGAAAATAAATTTCTGCTGTTTATGCCAGTGGTCCCCAGCCTTTTTGGCACCATGGAGGGTTTCTTGGAAGGGGGGCGCGACAGGAGGTGGAGTTCAAGCCAGCTTTGCTTGTTGCCCGGTTCCTGCCTGGGGGTTGGGAGCCCCAGGTTTATGCCATTCATTTGTGGTACTTTGTTATGGCAGTCCTGGAAAAATCACATAATTGTGACCTTCACTTTACAGATGAGGAAACCAAGGCTTGGGGATACACCGTAACAGTCCCTCAGTCCCAGGGCAAATGGGGAGGCAGAGCCATGAGGCCGGGAAGGAGCACAATGAGGACAAGATGGACCTTGGGGTGCCTGCCCTGTGGGCCCACAGTCCTCCCACACTGGTCTCATCCTGCTGCCCAGCACCCCTCCCACCTTCACTCCTCTGAAGCCCCTGCCACTGCTTATGGCTACACTTTCTGCACAGTTCCTGCCCCAGGGCCTTTGCACTCATCCCTTCTGCCCAAGTGACTCCTCTTCCATGTATACCAACCACAATCTCCCTTACATCCTGTGGGCTTTTGCTAAAGCTTTCTGGGGGAGGGGGTTCATCCCATCTAAATTTACAATTTTCCCTACTTTGGTCTCTCTCTGTATCAGCTAGCACTGTGTGACATACTATGCATTTTGATTGTTTCTTTTATTTTTTAAAAAGATTCTGTTTATTTTTAGAGAGAGAGGAAGGAAGGGAGAAAGAGAGGGCGAGAAACATCAATGTGAGAAACATTAATTGGCTGCCTCCCACACTTGCCCTGACTGGGGACTGAACCTGCAACCCAGGCATGTGCCCTGTCCGGGAGTCCAACTGGCGACCCTTCATTTTGTGGGACGACGCACAGCCAACTGAGCCACACCAGTCAGGGCTTGATTGTTTATGTGTCTCCCTATCAGGAGAGCTCCAGGAAGTCAGACCCTTTTCTCTCTTGCCCACTGCTGTATCCCGATTCCTAGGTTAGGTAGATATTTGAACCAGGAGTGACAGTGCTGATGTTTCCCAAGCCTTGTGTTTAGGTTGGTGCCTTGAAATGAGGCCTCTGTACTGTTAGAAGGGTACGCAGACCCTGGGAAGCTGATGTCTTTGAGAAGCACTTTTGACACACCATCAAGGAAGGCCTGGGCCTGACTTTGGCATGGCTTAGCCAGTCCTTTGTGCTTGCCACCAGATACATTCGATCCCTGAGTCCCCAACATGGGTCCTCTTCTCCTGGGTGGATGGGAAATTCATCCCTTTCTCAGATGAGCTTCTGCTGCTCTCTGACAGCTCAGCTGAGGTGTGCTGGCCTGGAGGCTGGAAGTGGGAGGCTGACTGATACAGAAGCATCTGTGAGCAAGCATGACCAGCTCAGGAACGCATTCTGACTTCAGGTCTCGTGCTGGCAGGCCTGGGCTCCTTGCCTTCTGCCCGCAGGGACCCCTCACAACCCCATCTTTTGATATGTTTTGTCAATTGATGGTTATTGCCACTAATTCAATGTCAACAGGAATCCTCAGTTTGGGGTGCAGTAAAGAGAGAAACTTCATTCAGTGCAAAACTGCTCAATTGTGACACAGCATGGCTGTGAAAAAAGCATAGCTATAGAACTCTGGGGCCATCCCCTTTCCAACTAACAGCTCTGTTCTGCCCTGCAAGTCATCTTTGGTGTTTCAGTTTAGCCAAAGAAACACAGTATTAAGTTTTTGTTGTTTTTGATGGAAAGGAAAAGTGCACTCTGAGCCAGAAGGGAGCGGGCTTATATGGACAGCAGCCCCTATCCCTAGTCTCTGATTGGTCCATCCTCATGCAAATAAGGACTTCAAATCCTTGTAGTTTGGCCCAAAAAACTTCTGTTTGGTTAGAATAGAGCCACTCTGATTGGCTAGAGCTGCACAGCTCCAATTGGACAGGGAAAGCCTCAGTCCTATTGGTTGAAATAGGATTCCAGAAACTCCATTATAAGGGCTTGCTCAGATGGCAGAAATACAGTGCAGGGAGGCAGTTGAATGATGACTTCTCTGTGGAGTGCAGTTTGTGTGAGTCCCCTGTGCAGAGATGGCTGCAGGGCTCTGTTTTCAAAAATTTGAGCCCACTTAGCTACCAGGATCCCTTCTTAGTAGGTATCTGTTTTTCTCAAATTTCAGTTTGGATTTGTACTCATTTGCTGGTAACCATGATCACTTGTTTAAGGTGCCAGCCAATGGCATCATCCAGGCTCTTCAGCAGAGACCTGGCCTATAGATGAGCCAGGCTGCGGTGGAAACACAAGCTCAGAGGGAAGTTTCCTCCCCTAAGATGGGCGGGAGTTCCCAGCTTTCAGGTATCAATCTTTGTGACTTGGAGGCTGGAGCCAGGTGGGGATTGTAGGGGAGGTCCTGTGGTGAGGGTCCTTGTCTTTCACCCAGATGGTCCCCACCCTTGAGGGAAGCTGGCTGCAGGGTGCAGGTCTGAGGTCTCAAGTTGGATTAGGGCAGGTGCAGTCCCCCAGCTCAGCAAACAACAAAATATAGAGAGGTGGCTGTGACTGAATGGTGGTTCAGCTGAATGGTGGCTCTGACTGCCCTGGGCCAAGGCCAGCAGCTGGCTGAGTCCAGGAACCAGACCCTCATGGGGCTCGGTGCCACTGTGAGGTGACAAGTGTTGACCACTGAGTCAGCCAGGTAAACAGAAGGAGGCAGGGAAGGGAGGGAAGGGCCTGAGTCCGCAGCTTCCTCACCTGCAACACTCCCTCTCCTGGCCTTTATTAACCTTTTTATTCTGAAATGATTTTAACTTGCTACAAACTTGAAAAAATAGAACAAATAATTTCAATATCCTTCAACCACTTCCCCCAAATGTTAACACTACCTAACCACAGTAAAATGATTAGAACCAGGAAATTAGCATTGATACAATACTATTCACTGATATGCAGACCTTATTTGAATTTATCAATTGTCCCACTAATATCTGTTTCCTAAGCCAGGTTTCAATCTAGGATCCAGATCCCACATTGTAATTTGTTGTGTCTCCTTTACTCAAAGATGTTTCCTCAATCTGTCTTTGACTTGCATGATCTTGACACTTTAAGTATTTTTTGGTAGAATGTCACTCTTTTGGGTTTGCCCAGTGTTTCTTTATGAGGTATTGCCTTTGGGGCAGAAATACCAAGTGATACATGTCCTGCTCAGGAGGTCCACAATTTGTCCCTTTCCCGGTGCTTTTTTTTCCTTCATTTTTTTATCGAGGTATAATTAATTAATATACACTGCAACACATCCTTACAGTGTATAACTTGGTGGTAAGTTTGGATGTGTATGCATTTGCCGGTGACTTGGATCTCTTGGTTAAGGTGGTGTCTCGGGTTTTTTTCACTGCAAGTTACTGTTTAACCTTTGCTATTAGTATCTTGGGGAAGAAACTCTGCAACTCTGTAAAACCGCCCCCCCCCGCCCCCGCCAGTTTCTCATAGTTTTGCCCACCATTTTTTTTAGCATCCATTTTTGTCTTAGTGTGCTGTCTGCCAAATGGGATTTTTTTTTTAGTCTATCATTTCTACTTTATTTACTGGAATGCTGGTCTAAGGAAGAGCGGTCCCTTATCCATTTATATCCTCCTCCCCTTCTTGAGGCTCCTGATACAGTATTAGCAAATGGGAAAGTGCTAGACAATTGAGGATACTTGTCCTTTTTCACCTAAGGATTATGTTTAATGATTTTAATAGGAAAATGTCTCTGTGGACAATCTCTACGGCACTGTGTAGACTAGAGGCGGCCAGAGCCCGGGGACCACAGGAGTGCCCCGTGATCCTGGCGATCCCGTACTCCTGGGTTCCCAGCATTCCCCCGCGACTCGCTTCGTTCCCGGCGTTCCCCGCGCTCCCCTATTCCCGGCATTCCTTGCGCACCCCGTTCCCAGCGCTCCTCGCGGCGATCGCTCTCCGCGCGGCGAGCCCCGCCCGGGTTGCGACCGTTAGCGCGGCCGCGACCTCGGCGTCTGGTCCCGCCCGCGCGACCGCGCTATTGGGCTGCGCGCCGAGGCCGCGAGCGCCCTGCGCCGCCGATTGGTGGCCTCTGCAGCCCGCTCCGCGGTTTCCCCAATGCGAGGCGGCCGCGCCCAGGGATTGGCCGCGCGCCGTCAAGGCCCGCCCTCCGCTCGCCCGCGCGGCAGGCGGGTCCCGCCGACCGGGGAGAGCCTGGGTGGCCTTCTGGTTGGCGGTGGCGGTCGGCTGTAAGGGTCTTCCTATTGTGGTCGGGCTGCGGGCAGCTCGGGCAGGCCGCGGGCGCCGGAGGTAGGTGCGGGGCGCAAGGGGCGCCCCGCGGGCCGGGCGGGAGCTGCGGCCTGCGAGAGGGTGCGCCCTTACCCTCTCGGGCGGAGGGCCGCAGGCCGGGGCGGCACGGCGGGGCGGGGCGGGTGGGCGTGAGGCGGGCATGGCCACGCGGACTCTCGGCCATTGTGAGACTCTGTGGCCGCAGTCCTGGGAGAGCGCTGGCCCGGGGTTGCCCCCGGCGGGGGGGTGGGACGGTGGGGGACTTCGGCTGGGGGGCGGGCCGCCACTGGTCGCTTTCCGCCCGTGTTAACAGCCCGAGTGTAAAGAAACACCCCTCGCCTTGTGGGCCCGAAGCCGTAGCATCGCTTTCAGGCGGGAAAGGTATGAACATGGTAGTGTTCGCTTACGACCCTGCGGGAAATCTGAGAAGTCGCCCAAGTCTTTTTCTCCGCTAAATGCTCATGGATTGAGTATCACGTTGATAATCGGGATGTGGTTTTGTTGTAACAACGGTCGTGGTAGAAGTAAATGTAATGTGGCAACCTGTTGATAGTGATACCTGTCAAGTATCATCTGATGGACTTGGGTTGCTCATGGTAGGAATTTGATTTACAGTTTTTGCATGCTTGCATGTACCTTGTTACCTGATGCTTGGCAGTCGAGGCCAACCACTAGGACGGGACACTCTGTTTCCTGGCAGCAGAAGGGACTTTTTAGTCATCGGGCTATGGGCAACCCCGACACAGGCCTTCACTCGCTCAAGGGAGTAGATGGCCAGTCGATGGTGCTGCCTGTGAATACAGGATGTGAAGCCCGTTGGAGGATGACAAAAGGAATGGATGAGGTCATATTGGTGCTGGGTTGGGCGAGAAGGCACAGCAGGAGAGGCTTGACCTAAAGGCCGCAGCCACAGCGTTGTACTATCACAGTCGGTGCCTCTGTCAGCCCAGTAAGTGGGCTCCCAGTGAAGAAGGGTGCTGTCCCAGTGTGTTGGTTTTGCCCCTGGGTCAGGGATTCAGGGAAGCCTGCTGTGAGTGAGCCTGCTGCTGGCTTACAGTCCCGCTTGGCAAGCAAGGTTTGCATCCCTGTGTTCAATCAGCTGAAGCAGTAGTGAGGCCAATGGCGGGATGAACCATCCTTTGAACCCTTTATGGCCAGGCACTGTGTGGGGCAGGTCCCAAATGTTTTATAGTCTACCCGTGACCTTGGGGGTAGGAAACATCTGACTGGTTTACCCAGTGAAGCTGTGGCTTCTCTTGTGGTTGCCCTTTTCTGCTTGGTGATCTCATCCAGCTTTCTGGCTTTAATGCTGTCTCTCCTTGACATCTCCATCTCTAGCCCCAGCCTTCCACCTGTGCTGCAGCCTCACCTTTCTAACTGCATCTTCCACATCTCTGTGTGTTCCTTTGCAGCCAGGTAGCCACGGCCAAACCTTTATAAACCCCAGTCTTTATCCCCAAACACTGCTCATGTTGCATTCACCACCTCAGTGCATGGCAGCTCAGTTCTTGAGTGTGAAGCCACATGGATTCCTCCGAGGTGTCCATGCAGTCCTCAGGACATTTCTCACCACCTCTGGCTCAACGCTGGTGAGCCTCTTAATTCTTCTTTTTGTTGTCACCCTTGCCCCTCCCCCAACACCCACCTGAAGTTTTTTTGGACATAGAATGGTTCTTTTAAATTGCAAGATAGTGTAGCCCTGACTGGTGTGGTTCAGTTGGTTGGATGTCATCCCATGAAGTGAAAGGTTGCTGATTCCATTCCCGATTTGGGCACAGGCCTGTGTTGCAGGTTTGGTCCCTGGTAGGGGCACATGCGAGAGGCAACTGATCAGTTTTTTCCTCACGCTGATGTTTCTCTCCCTCTCCTTTCCCTCTCTAAAAATAAATTAAATGAAATCTTTTGAATTAAATTGAGAGTGTAAAATTGAGGCAGCACATACTGAAACTAGATTGCTTGGGTGGTAAAGTAGCTCCACCACTTTCTAGCTATGTGACCTTGAACAAGTTGCTTAACCTTTCAGTACTGTATGACCACCGGCAATTGAAAATGCATAAGGTGACCTGGCTGTGTGGCCAAGTGGATTGAGCACCTGCCTATGAACCAAAAGGTTGCTGGTTCCATTCCCAGTCAGGACACATGCCTGGGTTGCTGGCCAGGTGCCCAGTTGGGGGCATGAGAGAGGTAACTGATGGATGTCTCTTGCACATCATGTTTCTCTCCCTCTCTCCCTCCTTTCTCCTTTCTTTAGAAATAAATAAATAAAATCTTTTTAAAAAATGCATAAAATGCCTAGAACAGGCTCCTGCTGAGAGTTGGCTGCCACTGCTGTCCTTAGATCATGTGACCTCCCTGCTTGGACCCTCCCGATCAGTGGGCCCATCTCAATTAAAAGCCAGAGCCCTGGTCTTCCTTGCCCTCATTGACTTGGCCTCCAGTCGTATCTCCTTGGCATACTGCTCTCGCCTGCCACACCACACTCCTTCCCCAGGGCCTTTGTTCTCTGTGTGCTTGGAATGTCCCCTCCTCACACCACTACTGCCCACCTGGCTCACTCTCCTTACCTTCAGATGGACACCAGCCGTGAGACCTTCCCTGTCCACCCTTTCCGAAGCTGTCTCCCCTTCCCCAGTTCTTTGTTTTTTCTTGAGCACTTCTCAGTTTTTCTTAGTCATTACTTGACTCCTGCTAAAACGTGAACTCTGGGGAGCAGGGATTTTGTCTGTTTGGTGTCCTCAGCATCTAGGATAGGGTGTGTGTGTGCCATTTGTAAGGTGTTCAATAAACATTTGTTGATTGAGTGGAGAAAGCTCGCATAGGGAAAGTAAGGAACTTGTCCAGGACTGCCCCGCTATGGGGCTTTGCCCCAGGAGCTGCAGCCTTTTAGGGCCGGGCAGGTTTTCCTGGTCTCCCAAGGGGTGCACACTTTCTCTCCAACCCACCCTTTGTGCCTTTTCAAGGCTTCCTTTCATCAGTTATTATCATCTTTGCTTTGTGCTTTTATATGGCTGTTTCTTAGCCTTTTAACATGGTAGCAGGTGTTCCCTGTCCTGTACTGCCATTTGTCTTCAATCCCCCCATTTCCTCATGTCTTCATTTTAGCTTTTTTAAAGCCCCCAGAGTCACAGATTGGCTCTAGTTGGAGCTGGGCAGACCTGCCAGGTGCTGACAGGTTTGGCCCTGGTCTGATCTGTGTTCTGTAGCACTGGGCATGCTGACCTGCCTGTCCTTTTCTTAAAATGATCTTTCTTGGTTGCCAGGAGACTGGCGTTACTCCACTTGGTGTTCTGGTGCCTCTCTGGCTGCAGTCTTCTCAGCGTTTACTGCAGTTCACTCTTTATCTGTCATTATCTATGTGCTGCATTTCCTTCATCCTTAGCACCTTTGATGGAAACATTTCTAGGGGAGGTATTGTGTTAAGTTACCATTGCACCAGAACAGTAAGGACATCTTAGAATCTTGGAAATAGAGTGACAGCTCCATGGTCATTGCCCTTCCAACTGCCCAGGTGGTAAGGACCTTGTCTCTTGTTTGTGGTAGTGCCTTCCTCAGAGTAGACGATCAGTGTTTGGTGAATTAATTGATTAAATCTAAACAAGTCTGGTTTATATGCTGTGTTACCTTCACAATATGGCCACTATGCTCTGTCCCTTCACTGCAAACTTTTTAAATGTGTGATGTCTGCTGACTCCTGTCTATGCAGTCAGGCTGCCCCCTGTGCACATATGGGCATGCATGTGCATACCTGTGCCCGTGTGCATGGCATATTTGTATATTTGTGCATCTGCACTGTGTATGTGCCCCCTGCATGTGGCTTCTGCTCTGATGCCTGTGCCTCCTGCAGACCTCTGGGTTCAGGATTGCCCCCTGAGCTTTCCTTCTCAGCCTCATGTCAGCCCTCTTGTCCTGCTTCCTCTGGAGTGAAGCTTCTCAGAGTTGTGTCCTCGCCCCTCTTCTTGCTCTGTGTTCCCTCTCTGGATGGCCTCTTTTCTGTGGTTTTGACGACTACCGCCTTGCTAAAGCATTCTGGCCCCTTTTTCTGGGCCAGTTACAGTTCCAGAGCTGTAGACTCAGCACCTGTTGGACAGAAATGCCTGGAGGCTTCATCTATTCCCCTCTGTGGGCTCCTGCCTGAATGCTGGAACACGTGTTCCTCCAGGAAAAAGCCTCATTGGCTTTCAGTTCCCTCTTGTCTGTGCTCTCCACCTCTACCCTGTTGGCAGAGCAGTCAGCTCTGTGTCTTCACTGTTCTAGAAGGCTCCTGTCCCTCTTTCATACCTTGGTCCTCTGGCCGAGAGGACTCCTGTGCCTTGGTTACAGGGACTGTGCCTGGTTAGTCTCCTTTCTCAAATAGGGATTGAATTGTGGCATGAGGGTCACCTCGCCCTTGGTGGCTCCTCATTGCCCCCAGGGTGGAGCCAGGCTCCAGATGGCACTTAGAACTCCCTGGGCCTCGGCTTCAGCTGTCTCCTGTAGCTGCCCCACCAACCCTGGCCTGGCTCCCTTCCCACAGCCACCACCCCTTCCTCTACTGGGAACAGAACCACGCCACCTCTGGCGACTTCAGCACGCTGCATCACTGTCCCGGTCCACGTGCCACCTTGTGGGCCCAGGAGAGCCCTGGGGTCCAGGGTGGCAGAGCGCCTGGCTGTGCCTCTGAGGCCCTAGTGCTGCAGAGTTGAGCTGAGGGTCTCGCGCTCGCCCTCTGACTGACCCAGCCCTGGCAGGTGAGTAGATCGATGTTGCTCTAATGGCCGGAGGGAGGCCGCACACCTTATGTGTGTTCTGGAAAGGGCGGCCTTGCACCATTTGCTTGCTTACTGAAGAAGCTGAGGGGAATGCTGTGGTGAAGTTTAGTGTAGGTTTTTAAAAGATCCTTTTGAGCCTTAAGATAACACTGTTTTTATGCTTCTGAAGTAGGGACTACAGTGGACATTTAATGAAATATTTAACTTTGGACTTATCATTTAGGTCTTGAAGAAAAAAGTAAAGGTAGTGTGTTTTAAAGCCTACAAGGTTCTCTTAGACAGTATTATTTTCTTTACTACACTGTTAATAGCACTTGACTCTTGGTACCAGGGAAGCAGACCGTTTCTGTCACTTGTGACGATGTTTTTAAATCTCTTTGCAGGTAGAAGAAGAAAGGTGCCACTTTGGCACGAAGAGAGAATCGCTTAGTCGTCAGTCATTTAAGCTGAGTGCATTGTGATTTCCAATAATTGAGGCAGTGGTTCTAAAAGCTGTCTACATTAATGAAAAGAGCAATGTGGCCAGCTTGACTAAGCCGTCAGCGTGTGCAGCGCGGGCAGGACGGCACCGGGTCTCGACGGACTTGTGCATGTTAGCTGTATAGATTTATGTAAGGTTTTAAAACTGGTCTTTTAAATAGTCTTAACTACTTTTACTATGGAGACATATGAGAGTCCCTCTCCTCTCCCGCGTGAGCCCGCAGGAGAAGCGGTGATGGAGAAACATGCTTGCCCCCTCCAAGCGCTGCCCTGTGAACAGTCTCCACCACCTCCCCTGCAAACGTCCAGTGATGCAGAGGTAATGGACGTTGGCTCTGGTGGTGATGGACAGGCCGAACCCCCTGCTGAGGACCCACTCAACTTCTACGGAGCTTCTCTTCTCTCCAAAGGATCCTTCTCTAAAGCCCGCCTCCTCATAGACCCGAACTGTAGTGGCCACAGCCCGCGCACCGCCCGGCACGCACCTGCGGTCCGGAAGTTCTCCCCTGACCTTAAGTTGCTTAAGGATGTAAAGATTAGCGTGAGCTTTACGGAGAGCTGCAGGAGTAAGGACAGGAAGGTGCTGTACACAGGAGTGGAGCGCGACACTCGTGCGGAGTGCGGTCTGGCCCTTAGCCCTGTCAGTGGAGACATGCATGCTTGTCCCTTTGGTGGGAGTGTTGGTAACGGGGTAGGCATAGGGGGTGAGAGTGCTGATAAGAAGGATGAGGAGAATGAGCTGGATCAGGAAAAGAGAGTGGAGTATGCAGTGCTCGATGAGTTAGAAGATTTTACTGACAATTTGGAGCTAGATGAAGAAGGAACAGGCGGGTTCACGGCTAAAGCAATCGTGCAAAGAGACAGAGTGGATGAAGAGGCCTTGAATTTCTCCTACGAGGTATGTCAGTGACCTCTCCTTTGGAGTGCCCTTAACAAAACCCAAAGAGAGGTGTTTGGGGACTGCAGCATCTTTTGAAAACTGTTGTTGCAGAGGAAAAAAGCCCATATAAGGTGGGATAACAATATGGAAAAGAAACCAAGGTTTTTAACTTTAACGAAAAGTTTGGCTGACAGGCCTGCCTTGTACCTTTTACCCAACCTGAGTTGGAAGGTGCTGCTGAGACGCGCTCCCTGATGGTGTGTGTGCCTGGGCCGAGCTTTTTGGCTTCATTTGTTGGTTTCATCCCATTTGTTTTTTTCAGATGACCATGCACCGTAAAGGCACACCTAGGTCCCCTTGAGAGCGTCTCATTTCTCTGTTCACTCTTCACTAGTGTTATTAAGCTTGCCCGTGGTGCAGGAATGTAGGTGCCGGGGCCATGGTGTCTGAACAGTATGTCTTGCAGGACGATTTTGACAATGATGTCGATGCTCTTCTGGAAGAAGGCCTTTGTGCTCCCAAAAAGAGGAGAGTGGAGGAGAAATATGGAGGAGACAGTGACCACCCGTCTGATGGAGAGACGAGTGTACAGCCGATGATGACCAAGATTAAAACAGTGCTCAAAAGTGAGTTGGCTGGTAAAAAAGTAGTGAGTGTTTGCTGGGCAGCAGAAGTGCAGGTTTGAGAGCCTTTGGGACACCAGACAGCAGTCTGGGCATACTTTTGAGTGCAAGGTAATCGTTTTGGCGGAAGGGGACAGACAAGACACAAGGGATGCACCCAGAAGCAGTACCACCCGTGTGCATGTCATGGTGTGTGCTGTGGAAACCACACAGAGGCTGATGTCTTGCAGAGGAACTGGGAGGGAACTTCTGACAGGGTGGGGAGTGCACCCCTGAGGAGGGGACATTATTGTGTTCTGGGAGATGACAAGACTGGCAACTAGTGTGTGTGGAGGCTGAGGCCAGAGGTGGGTGCTTAGCATAGTGGCACGTGAAGGTCGAGGTTTAAGTTCTAGGCTCTTTCACTGTTGGGGTAAGCCACTAGAAGCGTGGAGGTGTCGAGGGGAAAAAAGGATGGTACAATAAATCTTGTTCTAGCATAATTGCCCTCAATAAAAATGTTAAATCTAATGAAATGCTTTTTAAAACAGGTCTAGAAATGTGTTATATTTTAAAAAGTTAAAAGGATACCGATACTTGGAAAAAATGTATCTTTGTAGTTGGTTGTAAAAAGAGGCAGGCAGGTGTTGTTACACAGTGTTTGTCTAAAGGCACAGCTCCTGTGGCTGCAGCACAGCCTGTGTACTTCAGGTAGGCAGGGTGGGAGCTCCTGTGGGACAGGTGGAGGTCTTCTGGAGGTGCAGACAGTGGGATTTACACTTGGATTGGGGGACAGAGTGGAGAGCAGTGGGGAGATACCCAGAATTTTGGTTGTGCAGCTCCTTTGCCAGTGCGGTGCTGGTCTGGGAGGAGCCTGTCAGTTTCTCTCTGTCCTGGCAGCACCTGTGAGTGTCCGGGTTGAGATGTTGGGCAGCAGAGAAGGGCCGAAGTGACACACGGGGACTCAGTGGGCAGATGGAAAAGGGAGTGGCACCCCAGCACCAGGTCCCTACCCAGCAAGGAGGGCCCCAGGATACCTTAGATTGAGGGGCAGGGTGCAGAAGCTGATGAGGTGTGATGGGGGGAGTGGGCAGGTGGTATGCAATTTCTCCTGGCTGTGGAGTGGACACGTCACTGGTGAGTGGCATGTGTCTGCCCATGTTGGCCAGTGGTTGGAACAGGTTGGGCGTTGAGTTCATTGATTGCAGGTGGAGATCTGCTTGGGTCTGTCTCCACTTTTGAGGAGGGGTTAGAGGGCAGTCCTCACCTCACCTTGGTGTCTTTGGCAGATTTGCTTTGTCCTCTTTTTGTGGTTTCAGCAACCTCATTCTGTGCAGGTAAAGCCAAGCCCATTCTGAGCGGTGCACAGGTCAGCAGTGTGCCTGACGGTTCTGTATGCCTGCGTGGGCACAGCCTTTTCCTCTGCAGCCTTTGCCACCTGGAAGCGGCGCCTCCCTTCTAGGAGTTGCAGCTCAGTCCTTGTGCTCACAGACTGTTTAGGCACAGCTGGGGCTGCTTTATGACCACTTGTTGTCATAAATGAGTGGCCCACATGCACCCGTGTCCCATGTTGTGGTTGGCTTGTATTTCATTTGCTTTTTCTCCTAACTTAGCACAAAGCTGGTGTAAGGCAGCAGCTTCTTGGCCCTGGCTCATTGGGGAGAGTGCCTGACAGGGTTCCTGCACTTGACCTGCAGCACTTCCTCCCAGGGACCATCCTGATGTCCGCTGTCCAGTGTTGGCCACGTGTGGTTGTCAGGCCTGGGGCCCTCCTTGCTGGGCAAGGACCTGGCACTGGGTTCCACCCTCTTTCCCATAAGAGTTGCTGGTGCTGTTTTCATTGTGCATATATTTTTGTAGATTTCATTTGCCTTTTTTCCTTCTGTTTCTAAAATTTTTAATTTGTTCCCAGTATCTGGAAGAAAATTAAGTTTTAGTTATCTTTGCCTTATGCTTTTCCCAGCAACTGGGCCTGGCATCAAGTGGATAACACGTCTTGAGCTTTTTGTTAATGACTGCCTGTAAAGCAGGGAAGGGGTTGGTTGTAGTGGTTTAAAACTGAGTAGGTTTTTTTCTAATTTGAAGTAGTATTTTATATGCTGGTGAGAGTTGTACATCTTAGGTACGATGAAGACTTGTCACCTGGTCACAGGGCATGGTGTTCAACAGGCATGACGTGCAATTTATTAGCGAAGCTTACCCAGCCCCTGTGGTGTCTCTGGCCACAGCCAAGGTGGGAAGGTGAGCAGTTGAGTGTCCGTGGTGCTCACCAGCTGTGGAGGCAGCAGCTGAGGCTCCTTCATGCACCACATGCTGTCCCAGGCCAGGAGTACAGCAGTGAGCAAGGTAGACCCTTTGTTGCTGTCACAGAAGGACTTAGAGTCTGTTGGTTAAGCCCAGATGAACGAGCACAGCGAGAGCACCGCTTCATGCAGAGGAGGTGCTAGGGGCTGCCAAACAACAGGCAGGGCTGGGATAGGCTCTGGAGGGTGGGGCACTTCCCTATTTGTCTAGTTCTTAGGGCTTCTTTTCAATATTTGATCCATTTTGCTGTTTTTGTCTGCCGCATGTCATAATTTTTAAGAAGTCCCAACAGTTTTTGTGTTTTTCAAGTGATTGTAGGATGTTCTTCTGTGCAGGTCGTGGCCGCCCACCTACGGAACCACTGCCCGATGGGTGGATCATGACATTCCATAACTCCGGAGTCCCTGTGTACCTGCACAGAGAGTCTCGGGTGGTCACCTGGTCCCGGCCGTACTTCTTGGGAACAGGAAGCATACGGGTAGGGGTTGCATCAGTTGTGAATGTAGTCTTGTAAATTGGCAGATAAGAACCTGCATGTCTGCACCCACTGCATCATAGCTGACCCTCGGCAGGGGAAAGACAGGATATTCAGACCTTTGGGGTCATTCCTGTAATCCATTGCCATTTTATTGTCCACAGAAACATGACCCTCCTCTGAGTAGCATCCCCTGTCTGCATTACAAGAAAATGAAGGACAACGAGGAAAGGGAGCAAAACAGTGAGCTCGCCCCTAGTGGGGAGGTATCCCCTGTCAAACCCCTCAGCCGATCTACAGAGCTGGAGTTCCCCCTGGAAGAGCCTGACTCCATGGGGGCCGACTTGGGGCCTCCAGATGAGAAGGACCCGCTGGGTGCTGAGGCCGCCCCTGGAGCCCTGGGGCAGGTGAAGGCCAAAGTTGAGGTGTGCAAAGACGAATCAGTTGGTAAGTTTCCAGAGGGAACTCTCTTTCCCCTTTGCTGCCTTGCACTGTCTGCAGGGATGCCACTATATTCCACGCTTCTGGGGTGCCTGCCCCTCTGCTGAAGGCCATCTGTTCCTGGTTATGTGTGTGAGGAAGGAACTGCTGGGGACCTCTGTCTACTCCTGCATGGCTGCCAAGGCCCCACGCCCTGTTTGGAGAACCTGCTGGGGTCCCACACTCCAGGCCCCTGCTCCTGGGCTCTGCAGGGCCCACGTGGCTAATGCTGCCATGGAGGTGGCTACTGTCAGTGCAGACCTTTCTTCTCTGTCACTTTTATGTTTTCCTGGAGTCTTGCTTTTTCCAGTAGGATGTGTTTGTGAAGTGTTTTGATTTATCCTGATGTGCTCAGCGTGAGCTTCTTCAATCCACGGATTCAGTGTTGGGAAACTTCCACTATTCTGTAGGCATTTCACGCTTAAACCCTGCAATTGCTTTTTGGGTGTGTGCTGGTATTTTTCACTCTCTTCTGTGTCTTTTAGCTTAGTTCTACCCATTCAAGGTCTAGTTGTTTCTTCAGTGATGGCAAGCCGTTTTAGCCCACCTGCTGAATCTTGTTCAGAGAGGACTTTGTGTTTTCAGGACTTCTGGTTGTCTGTCTTGCTGCCTGGCTTGTCTCATAACTATTTCGTGTGAGGAGCCCTGGAAGAGCTAGGGGGATGGCGTCTGGGGGATGGGGGAAGGAGCATGATGGGTGGGGCCTCGGACACCTGGGGAAGGTTTGAGTCTCACTGACCCCCAGCTCCTGGTGGATGAGCCTTTGCCTCTCCTCAACCTGCCTGACTGGTGTTGCCTCCCTCCCCAGTCCAAGTTGGCTTCCTCTGTCTTCTGTTGGTGTGCTGGGGCTTTACTCAGCGACCTAGCCAGAAGGGAGCTCTCTCTTTAAGGCAGTGGTTTATTTTTTCATACCATCTTTTATGCACGTGTAAATTAATATGTCCCTGTTTTTTTTTAAAACACCTGCCTCTGGCTTTTAACCTCAGTGCTTTCTGAGAGGTGACCACTGGTGCTAATTTCCAGACTTCTCTGAATTCATATGTAAAGAAATAACATACCCTATTTTTCGGACTATAAGACCCCCCCCCCCCAATAATGGTTGTTAATGCTGCTGTTGAGTTCTGTTTACATTTACATTGGTGAAATATTATGTTATTTATGTTACTAAATATTTTACCACTTTTTTTTCTTCAAAAATTTTTTTTTCTGTTTTCCTCTAAAACCGAGGTGCATCTTATGGTTTGAAAAATACATGTAGTTTCAGCTTATAATTAAGTAGGTGCGAGTATATTGTTTTGTAGCCTTTTCTCTTTTTAAAGATTTTTTTTTTTATTTCCAGAGAGAGGAAGGGAGGGAAGAAGAGAGGGAGAGAAACATCAATGTGTGGTTGCCTCTCATGCACTCCCAACTGGGGTCCTGGCCCACAACCCAGTCATGCGCCCTGACCCAGGAACCGAACTGGCAACCCGTTGATTTGTAGGCCGGCACCCAATTCACTAGGCCATACCAGTCAGGGCTGTAGCCTTTTGTTTTAAAAGGCTACATCTCAGTTTTTCTAACAGAACCCCTCCCTCCACCTTCTGTTGGCACTGTTCTTAGGGCTGGGTGTGAGCCACTACATGCGTGAGTGGTAGGAGGCAGGTAGGAAACTAGTGAGGCCGATGGGAACCTCTAGGAAGTAATGGGTGGGGGAGGTGGTAGGTGTGGGGGTAAAAGTAGGAGGCCCTGGGGACCTTGCTGAATGGTGAGGGGAGGGGTACTTAGTGGAGGCATGGCATCTGGGGGAGCTGTGGGGTTGGGCCAGGGACCAGGTGGGGAGAGGTGTGATGCGTGCCAAGGCCTGAGCTGCCTGGGTGTGTTGCTGAATTTGGAGGCTGCCAGGGTGGCTGGAGGGGAGAGAGCAAGATGGACAATGGGTACACAGCTCCTCTGACTACTGTTGGCAGTCAGTGCCTGTTTTGATACAGGGGCAAAGGCCCTGAAGGCTGCCTGATTTTTTTTTTAATCTTCCATTAAAAAAGAATTTTTTTTGTTCTTTCTTCAAATAAACTAAAAGAACATCCTAGAAGTTTGCTCATAGGGATCTGCCATAAAAACTTGAACCACTTGAGTGACTGGACCTAACTCTTTGCTTTCCTCGCCCTTCCAGAGGAATAGGGCAAGAGCAGTGGGGATGGCGGGTGGGAGCTGTCTGACGGGAGGCCATCGCTGTCCAGTTCACTGGGCAGAGGAGACAACTTGATGTGGAAAATCAGTCATTTGGTCCTCTGGAAATCTTGTGCAGATCTTGAGGAATTTCGGAGCTACCTGGAGAAGCGTTTTGACTTTGAGCAAGTTACTGTGAAGAAATTCAGGACCTGGGCTGAGCGGCGGCAGTTTAACCGGGAAATGAAACGGAAACAGGCCGAGTCTGAGCGGCCCATCCTGCCAGCCAATCAGAAGCTTATCACTCTGTCTGTGCAAGATGCACCCACAAAGAAAGGTGAATTGGGGCTTGAATTGTGACGTTGGCAGACTGGTTATACTGGTAATTTTTCACTTGATCTTAAAATGTATACTTTGCGTGTGAGTTGCATTTTAATTCAAAGCTTACGTTTACCCTGCAAATACACGTTCATGGCAATGAGCCCCTAACACAATGACCTGGTCACTTGGATGGTGCCAGGTCTGAGCGTTAGCTTATAGGAGGGTCCTCACACTGTTTTTGAGATGGTCTTTTTTGTCACAGAATTTGTCATTAACCCCAACGGGAAATCTGAGGTCTGCATCCTGCACGAGTACATGCAGCGTGTCCTCAAGGTCCGCCCTGTTTATAACTTCTTTGAATGTGGTAAGTTTACTTTCCCGTTTCTCAGTCCTAAGGTCACACGCCTTACTTTGGTCATGGCTGGGGAGGCAGGAGCTGGCTTTAGCTGAGTTAGAAATGAAAGGGAAGGACAGGGAGAAGGGAGTTGCAGATAGGCAGCTCAGTTTTATGGGACTGTGTCCAGTCTAAGGGTCAGTGCCCTCTGCTTCCCCTCATTTGTTCACAACCCCCTTCCTCATCTTTCTTTGTTCCTTATTCTGAGGAAGGCCTCTTGCTGTCTCCGGCTCCCCCAGGTAGATGAAGGGATTTCAGGCCTCCACTTCCCATCAGCTGTCTCCTGTCCATCCTTGTCACACCTCTATGAAAACCAATTTGTCTTCCCCCTCGAAGCCAGAACCTAGGAATTACTGACTGTTCTTGTTGCTTCTTTGGCTCACTACATCTGTGCTCCCCTGCCCCTCACAGTCCTGTGTCTGTTTCTCAGATGTTGGTCCCTGTCTCTGGTGTTTCTACCTCTGACCTCTTGTTTCCCCTCTGCCTCACTATCCCGTGGTCCCCATTTACCGAACTCTTCCAGGTGTGCTCCCTGCCGCCCCATCTCAGCTCCATCTCAGTGTCTCAGGGTGTCCCCTTGTCTCTGCCTTCTGGCAGCAGCCCTGACCCCACTTTGTCTGTTGGTGTGAGCAGATGGTGTGTGTGTGCATGCATGCTTTTAATGTCTTGGCAAGTGTGTTTTAAAACAGTGATTTTAATTTTAAGAGAACCCAAGTGAGCCTTTTGGTGCCTCGGTGACCATTGATGGTGTGACCTATGGATCTGGAACTGCAAGCAGCAAAAAACTGGCGAAGAATAAAGCTGGTAATGTGCCTGCTTAGGTTCGGAGCCCCACGCTACTCGCTGTGTCTGCCCCTCCCCTGGTCTGGGGAAGGCTGAGCAGCAGCCCATGTGGGAGGGGTATGGGTGTAGAAATCCATTTTATTTATGTAATTATCTCTTTTGATTTTTAAAAATTAAGTGCTTATTGGGAAAGACTCATATATAGAAAGTAAAACCTGAGAAATACAAATAGAAGGTCCCCTTCTCTTTTCATTAGCAGCTGGCCTAAAAGCCCCCCCCCCCCACCCCCACAGAGCTGCCTAGGCTGTGCTAGGCACATGTTTTATAGTAGGTTTGTGTTTAAAGCGAGCAGAATGTGGGTATGCTGCAGATGGAAAACAGGGGAGCCTGCGTGCTGTTGGCATTTTCTTCGAGTGGTTTCAACATTCATGAGGACAATATCCTGAGTCCTTCAAACTCCAAATTTGGGACTGCCACTCACTGAACACAGCATAGCAGATCAGTGAGAAAGGTTATGTTTTTTGGTTAAAACTCATTGCTCTTTTTGACCATGTAGGTGCCATTTGCTTTTGTGCCCAGCACAGGTAGCTGCGTGCATTCTTTTCCAAAAGCCATTTGTTCCAGCATCAGAGCTATTTAGCCTCTTAGGAGTGGACCACATTTCAGGGGGGGCATTGGGTGCATTCCAGGCCCTGGCACCCATAGGTTGATTCTTGAGATTTCTACCATTCCCATTATTGTCCAAAGCAGCTCTGCCCCTTCATAGTGTGAAGTATGTCAGTTGTATTAGTCTCACTGGGTCTCCAGTTAGTGAGAGTGTTTTTGTTCTTGGGACTCAGCATTTCCCTTGTGTTGCTTTCCTTTGTCAGTGTCTGCTGAGGACAAGTGGGGTAATATGTTATTGTCTGCCCTTCCCCTGTGAGGCTGTGCTGGGCTCACACACTCCGCACCATTCTCCAGGAAGGCCTTTTGTTGAGCTTGGAGAAATTCTGCCAAAAGACTTTGTTCAACAGTCTGGGTGTTACCAAGGTTATAGAGCAGATGACCCTCAGAGCAGGGCCCAGGGTGGGGGGCAGAGACATCCTGGTGGCAGGGCGTTGCTGCACTGCTCCCCATGTGCAGGGTTCTACTCCTTCTGCCCAGACCTTGCTGCTGTCTGGACGCCTGCACTTGGATATCTTGCAGGCACTACAACCCTATGGGGTCAGACTATTGCACCCCTCCCCCACTCCTGTGCCCCACTTTCCCCACCTCAGTGGTGAGTGGCAGCCTTGCTCATTCGAGCATCCGTGCTTAGCATGGCTCTATCTTGCAGACGCTTTCTCCAGAGGATCCTTTGGATCTGGCTGTATCTGCCTGCCACACTTACGTACCCTGCTGAGTTCACTGTCCTCCTTACTTGGTCCAGGTTCTGCTGAGCCATTTGCCTGCATGTCACCTGATTCCTCTCACATGCAGATCTCCTCTCCTAATCTGCTACAGGTGCCTCACGGCACAGGTCTCCTTTGCTGGGGATATGCTCTTTTCCATCCTCTGCTGTCTCTGTCTCTGCAGCACTGCTGCTTCACGGTGCTCTATACCCCCACTGAGCCCTGGGGTCCCTGGCCCTCCCTGCAGAGGAGCCTGTGTATAGCTTGCCCTGCAGATGGGAAGCAGGCTGGGCCTGAGCCCTCATCCTCAGGGCTTTTCTTTTCATAGCGAGAGCTACGCTGGAAATCCTCATCCCTGACTTCGTTAAACAGACTTCTGAGGAGAAGCCCAAAGACAGTGAAGAGCTTGAGGTGAGTGTCATGGCTCTGCCCTGTGGGGCTGTGACTGCAGCGCAGCCTGTCCTGCCCTGCTGTGCGGGTGCCCCCAGTGGTTGGGTCGCCCAGACTTCAGGTTGTGTTGTTGGGTTTTACCTCATGAAGGGGAGCTTGCTTGTCTTGGTGAAAGCAGGGGAGAAATGTCGTTTCTGTCCTTGTGACACACGGTTGATAGTGGGAAGTGGCTCGTGTGTGATGAATGTATTTGGGAGCACATCAGCTTTCTTCATAGATCGGGAGCGGACCTTTGAGGCAGAGTCAGCAGCAATTAGATTGTTCTTTATGTTAAGAACCACTTAAAACTACTGTGAACTTTTGTTTGTTTTTGGTATATTTGACTCTATGATTTGTAACAAGGCTTCTCAAACTCCGAAGAATGCTTTTTTTATACAAGCTTTATTGATACCTGTTTCATATACCATACATTTTACTATTTTAAGCTCAGTAGTTCAGTGGATTTTTGTGTATTCAGATTTGTATGATCATCACAACAGTCTAACCTTAGAATGTTTTGGCCGGCACTTCCAGTGCTCCCCTTCCCTAGCCCCTCAGCACCCGGAAATCACCGATTCACTCACTGTCTCTCTGGGTTTGCTGGTTCTGGACACTTCCTGGGAATGAACCCCCTCACATGCGGTCCACTGTGTAACTGGCTTCCTTCACTGAGTGCGCTGGAGAGCGTGTTCTCCTGTCTGTTCCTGGGTTACTGAGCTTTTGCCAAGACTAGATGTTGGGTTTTCTCAGATGACTTTTCTGTTTCTGTTGAGAGGATCATGTGGTTCTTGTTTTTTACTCTACTAATATGGTGATATATTACATTGAGTTTTTTTTTTTTAAGATTTTATTTTATTTTTATTTTTAGAGAGGGAAGGGAGGGAGATAGAGAGAGAAACATCAATGTACGATTGCTGGGGGTTAGGGCCTGCAACCCAGGCATGTGCCCTGACTGGGAATCGAACCTGAGACACTTTGGTTCGCAGCCCGTGCTCAATCCACTGAGCTACGCCAGCCAGGTCAAGTTTTTGAATGTTAAACCGACCTTGCATTCCTGGCATAAATCCTACTTGGCCATGATGTACAGGGTGTAATTGTTTTTATGGGTTTCTGGATTTGGTTTACCAGTATTTTGGTAAGGACTTCTGTAGCTGTATTTATTTACAGGGGATGCTGATCTGCAGTTTTCTTAGGATGTTTTTGTCTGGTGGTGTTAGGGTAATACTGGCCTCAAAGAATGAGTTGGAAAGTGTTCCTTCCTCTTCCATGTGTTGGAGTAGTATGTGAAGGAGTGGTGTTAATTTTTTAAACATTTGCTAGAATTTACCTGTGAAGCCATCAGGGCCTAGAGTTTTCTTTGTTTGAAGTTATTTAATGATTAGTTCCATCTTTTTACTTGTTACACATCTATTCAGATTTTTTTCTTTCTTTTTGAGCCACTTTTGGGACTTTGTATATTTCTGGGAATTTTAAAATTTCATCTAGGTTATCTAACTCATTGGCATAAATTTGTTTATAGTATTTCCTTAACTATCCTTTTTGTTTTGGTAAGGTTATGATGTAACTTCTTTAATGCTTGATTTTAGCAGTTTGAGTCTCTTTTTTAAAAATTCTCATCTGAGGATATGTTTAATGATTTTTAGGAGGGGGAAAGGGTGGTGGGGGTGGAGAGAGAAATATCGATGAGAGAGAGAACCATCAATCAGTTGCCTCCCATGTGCACCCCAACTGAGGATGGATCCCGTGGCCTTTTTGGTGTTGTATGGGGACAACACCCCAACCACCTGGGCCACCCAACCAGGGCTCAAGTCTTTCTTTTCTCAGTCAGTCTAACCAGAGTTTTACCAGTGTTGTTGACCTTTTCAAAGTTCCAACTTCTGGTTGGTTTTGTTGGCTTTTCCTTTTTTTTTTTTTTTTTTTTTTTTAATTCTTTAGGTGCTCTAGCCTTTCTTGTGCTAGTTTTGGGTTTAGTTCCTTCTTTAATAGTGTCTCATGGTTAGTGTACTGATTTGAGGTTTTCTTTCTGTATAGCTTACAGCTATAAATTTTCTTCTGTGTACTGTTTTAACTGCATCCCATAAACTTTACTGTGTTGTGTTTCTGTTTTCATTCATCTCAAAGTATTTTTCTAATTTCCTTTGTAATTTCTTGAACCCTTGGTTATTTTAGTTTACATAATATATTTGTGGCTTTTCCAAATTTCATTTAGTTACTGATTTTTAACTTAATTCCATTGTGTAAAAGCAGTTAGTCTGATTTCAATCAGTCCTTCCATGTTCCTTTAGGCTTGTTTTGTGACCTAACAGATGGTCTGTCCCGGGCAATGTCCCATGTACGTGTGAGAAAAGGGTATATTCTGTTACTGGGTGGAGAAAACCGGATGTCTTTTAGGTCTAGGTGATGTGCAGTGTTTTCTGCGTAATTATTTAATCCATTATTGTCAGTGGGTATTGAAGTCTCCAGCTGTTAGTGTTGGATTGTTTACTTCTCCCTTCAGTTCTGTCAGTTTTTGCTGTATGTACTTTGGACTGTCAGTTGCTTTCATTTGTAATATTTGATATAATAAGAAATATCTGTTTGGTTTTTGACCTTGGTTCCTGGGACAGAGCTAAAGTAATACAGTAAGTTATTTTTTTGTTCCCAGTTCTTGAACTAGCTCCAGGTTGATAAAGGTGAATGTAATGTCTTTTGTTATTGTTTTTTTTTTTAACTTTTTAAATTGTTTTGGGGTGGGGGGAGAACACAGTGATTTGTTGTCCCACTTATTTATTTATTCAGTGGTTGGTTCTTGTATGTGCCCTGGCTGGGGATTGAACCCATAACCTTGGCTCATCAGGATGACGCTTTGACTGACCAAGCTGCCTGGCCAAGGGTGTTCTTACTATTCCCCTGTCTACCACATTGGAGTTTATTTATGTTAGCGAAGTGACTTGGAAAGACCCTAAGGAAGGGGTGAGGTGCTGTTTGCCAGGGGAACCTACATTTAATTAGAGGGTTGGAATTTTTAGCCCCACCCTTCATTCCACCCCCACCCCCAATTTCCAGCCAAGGGGGTAAAAGGGCTGGAGGCTGCCTGCGTTAATCACTCATAGCCAGTGGTAATCAGTTGTGCTTCTGTAGTGAAGCCTCCATAAAAAAACGTAGCCAGTGGTGTTTAGGAGCCTCTGGGCTGGTGAGCCCATGGAGACGGAGGAAGAGTGGCGTGCTTGAAGAGGGCGTGGGAGCTCTGTGTTCCTGCCCTTCTCCAGTCCTTTGCCCTGTGCCAGCACATTTCAACTGGAGTGCCACAGAATTTTTAGAACGTTCAATACCCTACTATTTAGTCAGGGCACTGACCTCTTTTCCCTTAGATTGTCAAGTAAAAAAATGACAACCGCCAATACAGCAATAGTTGTCCACAACAAAAACCTATTTTTTTGTCAGATTGGCGAACATTTTTTGGTATGCCACAGAATTTTAGTAATTAGTTTATGCGTGCCCTGAGATGAAAAAGGTTGGAAATTGTTGGAATAGGGCACTGTAGGTAGTTTGCATTTTCCAGCAATTGGTCTGTTTTATCTAAATGCTTGAATTTATGGGTATTGGGTTCTCGGTGGTGCTCCCTCGTGGTCCTTCCCTGTCTGTTGGGCACCAGTCTCCCAGCTCTCCTGTGCTGTGCTTAGGGGGTCCCTTCTATCCTTTGCCTTGTGCTGTCTTGAGCAGGAGCTCCCACATTCCCCTGACCGGTTAACTACCAGCTACCAGGTCATTGTGTGTGGGCCTTTGCCAAGGCCTTTGGGTGTTTTGGGGCTTCTGGGCACGCAGCGCACGCGTGTCCTGGCTTTAGCTGTCAGGGAGAAATCTGAAGCTGCAGGGTACGCAGGGTCTCCTCCTGCTCGGCCAGATCACAGGTCCACAGCCCAGGTGCTGGCTACTGGTTCGAGTGGGTTTCACAGGGTGAATGAAAACTGAACATTGCTGATGGGTTGGCTGCCTGGCCAGCCATTAAGGATGTGTCCAGGGCCTGGGCCTGACTTCTTATGAGTAACTTTTCCTGGAAACTGATCCACACTGATGTGGGCCCTTAAGAGTGGAAACGTCTTGTGGGCACCTGTTGGAAGAATAGTAGCCAAATGATAGCAAGAGGATTTCCTGCTGACAGAATCGGCAGTTCTCTTCAGAAACAGTGCCTTTCTTTCCTCAACTCAGTCACAGTAAACACCCCACTGCCCTGCTCAGAGGAGCTGTGCCGTGTGTTCTTATAAGAAGAGGGGAGGGCAGCGGAGAGAACACCATGTGGAGATGGGAGTTTTGCTGCCACAAGCCAAGGAAAGCCTGGGGCCACCAGAAGCTGGACAAGTCAAGGAAGGAGCATCCCTGAGAGGCTTTAGGAGCAGGGCCCTGCTGACACCTTGACTTTTGGACTTCTGGCTTCCAGAATTGGAGGAAATAAATTTGTTGTTTTAAGCCACCCAGTTTGTGTACTTTGTTACGGCAGCCCCAGAAGACTGCAGCCCCCACTGGGAGGTGGGCCTTGCTCCTGGGTTGCTTCCCGCATTTACCAGTCACTCTTGCCTGGCATCTGTCTCGGTTGTGCAGGACTTCCCTTTTTCTCCTTACCTGGTGAAGTGGTTTCCTGTTAACCTTTAGTAATCTTTCTGTTCTTTGATCACAACGATCAGCTTTACATCCAGGATGACTTTGTGTTTGAGATGAGAGCCTGGCGAGGCCCTCTGCAGCCTTCCGGGAGATCGGCTGATAGAGAACGCAGCTTTAGTCGGCTTGTCTCCTCTCTTCTGCAATCTCACAATGATCTTCACGTTTTTCTCCAAAGGTGGTTTATCTTGAGATTTCTGACTAATTATGTGAAATCTGAAGATCAGATTCAGAAAAGACTCCTTAGACTGGTTGGCTGTGTGGCCCTGGCCCTTGGCTGCACCAGAGTCTGTCAGCCCGTCCTCAGCACTCTTCAGCCTGGTTCAGTGTGGCTCCTTGTCTGTGTCTCAGAGGGCCAGCTGGACAGTTGAAGAGGGGTGAGAGGTGCTCCCCAAGGCACTGAGGAGGACAGGAGCATGGGAGCAGCTCTGCAAGGCCAGCACTTAGGAGAGGGTGATTTGTTTTATAGTATTTTAACCACATCAGCATCGAGGACTCACGGGTGTATGAGCTGACCAGCAAGGCCGGACTGTTGTCTCCCTATCAGATCCTTCACGAGTGCCTTAAACGGTAGGTGGGGGCTTCCCGTCCTGAATCAGGTTGTGGGGACTTCTTTCTGGGTGCCCAGCATCTTTACTGGCTGTTTACCCTGGCTTAAGAGGCCATACTAAAGGCTGAGCCATTACAAGTATTCTCTGCGGGCACAGAGGCCTTGTAGTCTCTCAGAACCCTGTGGGAGGGGGTTGGGTGTACTTGGAGAACCTCATCCTCTTCATCCAAGAATCACTTTTGGGGAAAGGGTTGGCATTGTCTTCAGAGAGCCCTTAAAGAACTCTCTGGAAGCAGCTATTTCTTCCTCCTCAGCTGATGTCAACCATTGTCTTTGTTTTCTCCTAAAGAAACCATGGAATGGGTGACACATCCATCAAGTTTGAAGTGGTTCCTGGTAAAAACCAGAAGAGTGAATATGTCATGGCGTGCGGCAAGCACACAGTGCGAGGCTGGTGTAAGGACCTCCCCCCCGCCACTGCTGACTGTGTAGTCAGATGACTGCTGGGGTGTTGCCCTATTGGCACCCCTCAATGTAGTCTCTCTGGGAGTTTTGAGCCCCTGTGGCTTGGCCTGGGGCCACTGCTCTACCGTTGCTCCTGAGTTCTGGCCATGTGTGCACTGACTGCGTCCAGTAGTGTCCGCTAGCATTTCACGTTGAAATCTGGAACATAGCTGGCCCGAGATGTGGCTGTGACAGTCCTCTCTCTCTGCTTCCTCTCTCCTCTCCTCCTCCTCCTACCGGGCTTGGACTGGTCATTCTGTCTAGGCCTTACGTTCCTCTCCTGCCACCTCCGTCCCCTGGCAGCTCTTGGTCCCTGTGGTATTGGGGGACATCCTGCTCAATTGGTAGCAGAGCCTCTGGCTTGTCACACTCTGCATCTCTGTGCTGGGCGTGTGCTGCCCCTCTGCCTTCTGGTCTGTGTGTGCTACCTGTGCTCTTTACCTAACTGGAGTGTTGAAGTAACCGCTTTTTAGAATATTTTAAAAGGAAACTTTGTGTAACTACTGTAAGCACAAAACCAGTGCTGTATAAATTAGAAGGTATGCACAAGTTGACCTGTGGAAAATGCAGGGCCACATGGAGACCTGGTGTGTCCTCCGCTCCAGGATACACCAGCCCCACTGAGAAGTGTTCCTGAGCAGGTGGGCAGGGTGTGAAGTGGAGGAGGGGTCCTGGTGTTGGGACTCCCTCCTCCAAGCCGGGAGGCCCTGTATGGAAGTGTGGCTTGCCTTGGCCTACTGAGCCAGAGTGCCCACTCAGTACTTGCTATTCTCTAGGCCCACTCTGCATCCTGGCCCTGCCTTCCCTCTGTTTAGGAGCCTCCTCCAAAGCACACATACACTCTGGAAACTCCCCCTATGGGCCTTCCACTGCCTGCCTCCAAAGAGCTCAGGCCACATGTTTCATGATACCTTGTTGCTGCTTGTCTGTGTGCCTGGAAATGGGGGGATTATGCTGGGAGGAAGGACTCTTAAGACCTACCTTGGTCGCGTCCTGGCCTTCTGGAGCCTCTGATGGGCTGTCCTACGAAGTGGGGTTGGGGTGGGTCCTGGTCCGGGGTTTGTGAGGTGCCAGTGCTCTTGGTAGAGAGCAGTTCTTTGCCCTTTCCTGTAGAATGTGCCCTTGGCTCAGGTTGGAGGGGGCAGGTGAGCTCCTTTTTAGGCAAGGTGGCTGTGTGGACAGCTGGGTGTGTGTGACTTCTCTGCATATCCTTTCCCTCTTCACAGGTAAAAATAAGAGAGTTGGGAAACAGTTAGCCTCTCAGAAAATTCTTCAGCTGCTGCACCCACATGTCAAGAACTGGGGGTCTTTACTGCGCATGTATGGCCGTGAAAGCAGCAAGATGGTCAAACAGGTAACAGAACCTCTCTCCCAGCCCTGGAGTCCCACTGTCATGGGGGACAGAGTCAAGCAGCTCTGCTCGTGTTCATGGCCGCTCCTATTGGGCTGTCTGTTGGGCCATGTCTGTGACTTTGTGGGGGTGGGAGTCTTCCCTGCCCAGAGGGCCTGGACCTGGCTTGGCAGTATGGGGAGGGGACTAGAGTAGCGGGAGGTGCAGATGGTGAGTGCTGCCATCCTGACTTGAGTGCTTAGTCCACTGACAGGAGGCCTTATGCCAATTTGAGTCCACCCAGTGGCTGAGGGAGAGTGAGCACACAAGGGCAACTCTGGGCAACAAACACAGTACTGACCTTTAATTCAGCAGCCTGCGTATCATCTCTTTTGCTTCTGCTGCTTTTGCCAAGATCTTGAGATTTAAACCAATAGTCTTAGGTTTGTGTGCTTTGTCGGGTGGAGGGAAGTACCGGGAGGTGAGTATTTATTTTTTCCCTGATGTTTATAGAAAGTCTGTATTATCAGCACCCCAGTAAGTGGAGGGGTGGTGGTGTAGATGGTAGGGACTGCAAAGGGTGAGGAATATGCTGTGGATCCTCAGACTATTCCTGAAGATTCCCTTGTTCTAGGCATGACAAGGCGGGGTGAGGGAGGTGACAAGGGCCCCCAGTGTGCTTAGGGGAACCTCAGGGTATGTGTTGAGAAAACTTGGGTGCAGTGCAGATGGTGTTTATTGCACCTTTTGTATATACCTGCTTCTGTGCATCCTCTTGGGCTAAGATTGAGGGAGAAAGAGCCCACTTTGGCTGGAGGGCAAGAGGTCCAGCGCAGGCACAGCCCAGCATGGGGCTTTTGGAGGGCAGGTGGAGCCTGGCATCCATGGGACAGCAGTTGTCCTGAGAGATGGGGGGTGTTAGGACATTTTGATCTTGCACTGAAAGTCTAAGGCATGCAGAGAGCTCAGTGACGGGCTGATGGCCTCCTGGCTAGGGCCTCTTCAGGCAGAGGGCTCTGGGCATAGTGAGTGCCTGGCTGACAGCTCTTTCTGAGGCCATGTCCAGCTTCACTGTATCTGGGCAGGAGTGGAAACAGCCAGGGTGCTTTTGTCTTGTGGAAACAGGAGGTTGTGGCTTTCTGTCCACTGAGGATGGGGCAGTGGGGGCAACATGGACTGCACAGCGTTCTCTGCACAGGTCGAGGGTGGGGCAACTGGTGCTGGGCCAGGGCAGTCCTGAGACGGAGGCACTGTGCTCCCCAGGAGACCTCAGACAAGAGTGTGATCGAGCTGCAGCAGTATGCCAAGAAGAACAAGCCCAACCTGCACATCCTGAGCAAGCTGCAGGAGGAGATGAAGAGGCTGGCCGAGGAGAGGGTGAGCACGGCCGTGGCTCTTTCATCCCCTTGCCCCCGAGGCAGGGGGAGGGGGCCAAGCTGCGTCATATTGTGGCATCTGTGGGGAGAAAGCTGTCTCCTAAGAACCTGTCACTAGTTTCTGACACCCTGGCAGTGCCCAGGCACCTGAAAAGCCCTAATCCTTCCACATTCAATTTGTTTGTCCTTGAGCTTCAGCATTCGTGGTACTCGTGCTAAATCACGAATGCTGGCAGCCCTGACTTGTGGTTGTGAAGGGCCCTGCTGCTGTGTGCTGACTCTGGGTCCCCAATAGGTGCTGGCTGTTTGAGGACAAGGACAGTGTACTGGCCAGGCAACCCCCGCGCCCCCCAGTTCAGGGTCCTGTGGGTGACAGACTGCTGTCCTGGGTCTCTTCCTCTTGGAGTCCTCAGCAGTTCCAAGTGGGGAGTGTGGTTCACAGAACAGTTAAACTGGGGTAGGGCTCAGTGTCCGTGCAGCTTTCTAAAGCCAAACATTCAAGGGGCCTCTGGGCTGACCTTGTCAGCTGTGGCATCAGCCTGGGCCCGAATAAACCTTGAAGGAGGTGTTGTCTTTGTGGCCTTTTGGGTCCACGAGAGGCCTCACTCCTGCAGGTTGGGGGTTGGGAGAGAAACCCACCCAGGTGGTATATCCTTGGTGGCTGTGATCTCCTTGGCCCTTCACTTTTTAGTGTATGTCCTTATTCTCAGGGAATCGCGTGGTACTCTGCTGTTCAGGTAGAGTACCTGACCCTCCCAGTCAGCTCCCTGTGCGGCCCACTTCCCTCCCTTCTAGCCTGAAGTCTCAGAGCAGAGATGCAGAAATGCCCTCCTGCTCCAGAGGCTGCCTGGCACCAATCTACTAGGCTCACCCCACCCATCCACCTGTTCCTCTCGGGAGCTTCTTGCCTGAAGGTGGGCTGCAGCAGGTTCTCATCTCACTGGCATTTCTGACCTTTGTTGTTTTTCTAGGAGGAGACTCGGAAGAAGCCCAAGATGTCTATTGTGGCATCTGCCCAGCCTGGCGGTGAACCCCTGTGCACTGTGGACGTGTGAGGAGGTAGCAGACTGGGCATGGGGGCTGCCAGCTCTGCTGCTGGGGAGACCACGCACCGCGCACTCTGCAGCCCCTTGCCTCCAATCTAAGTTCCTCTCCTACAGCCACACGTCTGAGGGGTGGGGCTCCAGTACGTGGGGACAGCCAGGGCCATGTACTGTACCATACCGTACCGTACCATTTCCTTGGGGGCCACCCACAGGTCTGAGTGGGCATGTTAAAACATCAGCTCAGCCTGCCTGCACAGGTGGAAGCTGAGCTTGGAGATGACCTCTCTTGTATGGACTTACTGCAGACTGGTTTTATGAAGGTTTTCATGAGTTTTAGTACACAACCTGCACTGACAAACAGTAGTTGATGACAAGATGAAATGAGAAAGTGATGGTCGGGTCACATGGCACCCTGTGCCCAGGACTCACATGGGCCGCTGAGGGGCCTGGCGAGAAGGCTCGTGCTGGCAGCCCTCCCCTTCCTGTCTCCTGTGTTCCCCTTTCTCTGAAAATGTTATAACAGGAATGAGCATTTCAGACCGTTTTGGTTTAAAATAAACACAATGTTAGAACTATTTTTCAGAGATTGCAGGCAAATCATCAAGGTGATTTATTCAGTATGAGCCTCAGTCTGGCTTTTTGCCCAAGCCCTGAGCTGGGGTGTGGTCCATTTTTCTTTTTTTAATTTTTAACTTTAATTTTGATTTTAGAGATAGAGACACATGGATTTGTTGTTCCAGTTATTTACACATTCTTTGGTTGATCCTGTATGTGCCCTGACTGGGGAACAGATCTGCAGCCTTGTGTATTGGGATGACATTCTCTAACTGCGCTGCCTGGCCAGGGCCTTCTGAGTACGTCTTAATGCTCTAAAAACACACCTCAGACATCAAGGCCCCTTACCTGGCCTCTGGCAACTTTTTACTAAAGATTTTTGCACAGTCAATTCCCTCTGTCCGCTCTTAATTTTTAAAGCTTTTATGATATTTTAGCATTTGGAAAGAAACAGTGCGTAGAAGATAGATTTGGAATTATGTAGCAGATATGAACAGTTAATGCATTTTAGCACGTGGATTTATTTAAGAGGAAACAAGGACCTTTAGTGCAATCCACTCTTGATCACAAACTGGCACTCCTCTCCAGAGGTGGTGCCGGCACATGGACGGTGGCTTCATGGATTTCAGAGGCAGCTGCCTTGTGCAGCCAGGCCTGGTGACCAGCTTACTCCTGACCAGCAGCCTGTGCTCTCCAGGTGGCCCCTGTGGACAGGTGCAGGGGTAGATGTGACCCTGGGTTGTCCCCATATGCAAGGCAGTGGTGGTGAACCATCTGTTTCCTGTCCCTGAGTACCTGTTCAGGGTGCCACATGCTCACGGTGCACTGCCAGATACAGGAGCCCGGCACTGGGTTGCATTGTTAACATTCTTGGGGTGTGTCTGTCCTCCACCACATCCCCTGTGGATGCTGTTTGCTTCCAGGAAGACAATGTTGGCCTTGTGGGCCACCCAGTGTATCCCTCCCTCGGCGCCTGTGTGACCAAGGTTGGCTTCTGTGTTGACCTTTATAAAACAGAATTCTCAATCAAGTTGCTGTAATTATACACTTGCTTCTGTCTTGCCTCCTATCTGCAGCTGTGAATAATCATTTGACCGTGACTGTTTGCCCTTAAAACAGGCAGATGCACCATTGTGAACCAAAGCTTTGTGCACGTGTTACTAGAAGTGGGTGAGCCTCACTGCGGCCTTCCCAAGTCTTTCCTCTGTCCCATGTGTGGGTGCGAGTGTTGTGTGCACACAGCTGTACTGTGAGGGTGGAGGGCAAGGAGAGCCTCTGCTGATGCCACCTGTCATGTGCCTCCCAGGTGGCAGCTGGGCCATTGCTGTTAACAGTGACCCTTGATTGGACATATAAAACAAAACTGACCAAAAGGTTGACTGGTGTTTTTCTTCTTCCTGACAATGGGAGATGGGGGGCCTGGTGGACCCTCAGTTTGCCAGAACCTCTGGAGCAATCCTCAATGGGCTAGGGTGTTTGCCTGGACACAAACCCAGGAATGTCCCTGCCCAGCTTTCCTTGGTCACCATGCAGGTTGCTTTCCTGCAGGGCTAGCTGCGGATAAAAGTTGAGGTTCCTCTCTTTGGTGCACAGGAAGTGGGGTCTAAGCAGGCAAGGCCAGCCCCTTGCCCTGTGCTCCTTACCCCACATACACACTTGGACAATGGCTGTGAAGTCTGACTGCTTTTCCTTGGGCTTAAGCATAAAATACCAAGTTCTGCTATAACTTCCATTGTTCAAAGGACCTGGGAGAACCACCCCAAAATCCAGCTCTAGCTGGGTCAATTCTTGGCTATTCCCAGGGCTGAGTCAGAGGCTGAGACTTAAGACTTACCCCAAGTGTACCTTCTAGCTGTCCCTTTGCACCTGCAGTGGGGGACAGAGGAGCCTGTGTGCCAAAGCCCTGGGTTCTTATCACAGAAACATGGATAGTTCAGCAGTTGTTTATTCTGGCCATTGTGGCCCAACTGGTCCAAAGAGAACAGGAGTGTGTGTGTAATGTATGTGTCCCCAGGGTACAGGAACTATGGCCACAGGGACAGGAATGCCCTAGGCAGGACAGCTGGGTCTTAGGCCATGTTGGTTACTGCCCCATGGCGTTTCCAGGTGAGGCAAGGACTTGAGCCACTTGGTGTGTGCCCGTGATGTGATGCAGACTGAGCCCTGTTGCGGAAGGGCTGGTTTCCATTGCTCCAGGGCCTAGGAAGGAGGGGAGAACCCAGCTTCCTGCTGGGTATCACCAGGGGGCCCTGGTGAGTGCTGGGCAGGAGGGTCCTGGGGCTCCAGGGTCTCTGTGTCATTGGGGTGCTCCACTCTCTCGAACAAGATGAGCATCTCGCAATGTGGTGTCTGCGGGAACAGGTCCACGGCCACAGCCTTGACTGGCCGGAAGGGGGTGCCCTTCACCCGGTTAGATGGGGCTCTGCAGAGGCTATGGTGGGAAGGGAGCAGTCAAGGTCAGCCATGTAGCTGGGTCTTCTGTAGGGGGTATGAGGCTGGGTGCTGGCCCCGTTTCACCCCAGACCCCCACCTCACACTCACTCGACAAAGTTGCCCATGGCCGCCCGGGGGTTGCAGGAGACATACAGGAGACGCTTGAGATTCTCAGCTCTGCGGATGGCCAGGATCACTTTGGAATCTGAGGAGGCAGATTCCTCAAGAGAGGGTCCCCACCTCAAGGGGAGAATGGAGGCCCAGTGGGTCTGGACATCAGGCCTGAGGCTGCACAGCCCGGAGTGCCACCTGGATGTCATTGCCCTCCTCTTCCCTGTACTACCCCCAAGTGGAGGCTACTCACGCAGGCCAGCACGGGGTGGGTCCAGGATGGCAATGAGCTGCTGGGAGGCCAGTTTGCTCACCAGGGCAGGCACCAGGTCCTCAGCCCTCCCGCAGTGGAACTCGACATTGCTCAACTCTGCAGAAGACACAGCAACCCCGCTGGGACCTGGGATGCCTGGCCCCACAGGGCCCGCCCAGTGCCTGGTGTCCTGAAGGCCCTAATCAGAGGTGCCTGGGGAAAACACTGGCCAGGTGATGTGCTCGCCCTCCTCTCAGGCAGTCCTGGGCACATATTAGGGGACGTGTTGTGCCTTCTGTACAGTCCCCACCCCCCTTCTTGCCCTAGAAGCAAGGAGCTGTGCAAGGTGCACAGCAGAGGTGACTGCCCGCTGTGTGGGGCCCCGGCTCTCACCATTGTTGTGGGCATTCACCCGGGCATCCTCCACGGCCTCCTGGCACAGCTCAATCCCCACAACTCTCTTCACCTTCTGAATCAAGGAAAGGGCACAGGCTGATGGTGCCCTGCACTACCCCAGGAGCTTCTTAGGGAGGAGAGTAGCAGGAGGCATTGTGGGGGTGTAGAGGAGGATATGGGACAGGCTGGGGGTCACTGGGAGGTGTGGTCATGAAGCGGTGCCAACACAAGGGTGGGGTAGGGAGAGGACATCTTCAGCTGGGGCAGCAGAGCTTACCTGGGCCAGGGCCAGGCCAATGGTGCCGGTGCCACAGCACACATCCAGCACTGTGCTCTCCGAGTCCAGCTGGGCCCAGTCTTGGATGACTGTGTAGAGCACCTCAGCAGCCGGGCTGTTCACCTGGAGGGTGGATGAGCATCCCTGCCCAAGTTAGCCTTCCTTCCTGCATCCACAGCCAAGTGCCTTCGTCCCCTGGGGCACTCCCCTGCTCCGAGGCCCATGGCTTAGTCCCTGGCTCACTTATCTTTTCTAGGTCTCCTGATCCCATCCCTCCCCACCTCTAACTGCCTAAGGACCCAAGGGCTAGCCCTGCCACTGCCTCACCACCCACAAGACACTGGGCAACCTCACTCAGGGTCCTGGTTTTAAAAGCCACTCAATGCTGACCCCCTTCCGCCCAACTTACCGTCTTCTAAGTGCTACATATGTGGGATCACGCCTCACCCCCCACCTAGCAGCATCAGGTACGAAGACTAATCAGAGCTCACACCAAGGCCCTGGTGTCACCCCATCTCCCACTGCCCACATGTGCTTTTCCAGCAGGGCTGTCACAAACAAAGATCCCGTGAGTGCAAGTGACTTCCTGCCTCACTGCCCTTGCAGCTCCTCTGCCTGAGTGCTCTCCCCAAGACCTCTGCATGCAGTTTGTCTCCACCCTCGCCCATATCTGCTATGTCCCCGTGTCACATCAGGCCTCCCTCTCTGTGTCTTTATGATCCCCTAGGGGACTCTGGGTTACCTGGAAGAAGGCGTGAGGGGAGATCTGGAAGGTCAACCCCAGCAGGTCTTCATGGATGTACCGGTCCCCAGCTATGTGCTCCAGGGGCAGGCCCTCTTGGCTGGGAGTCTTTCTGTGGGTGGTGGGGCCAGTCATTATCACCGGCGATCGAAAGGACCCACACCATACTCACATCCCGGCTCCTTACCGCTGCCCCTCCTGCACGAAGTAGAGGCAGGTCACCCCACTGGCTTTGCCCGGCCCCCCTGTGAAGTACTGTGCCAACGAGGCCTTCAGCTCTGCCAGCTCCTCGGGGCTCAGTTTCTGGAGGAGGCAGTAGAAGAGGCCCTGTAAGGCTGTGCTGCATGCAGCCTGTTCCGGCCAGGGCACCCTCCTAAACTGAGACCTGAGGATGGAAGTAGGCAATGGCCATGGCTTGGCCTCGGCGGCTGGTGCGCACGGTCAGCTGCTTCCAGTGGCCTGAGTACGTCTCTGGATCGTATGCCGAATACGGAGTAGACCTGTGGGAGCCATGAGCAGCTCTGAGTCCCCAACATCTGCTGACCAGCCTTTTTACTTTCTTCTTCAGTCACACCCACTGGGCCACAATTGTAGGACCCTCCCCTCCCCCACCACTGGCAGGACCCAGGCTCTTTGTCACCAGACCCTCTCAGAACACCTGGGACCCTCACCCCAGCCACAAATCCTCACCGGATAAACTCCTGGAAGGCCTTCACGACCTGCTTGGTGGCCTCGGGGATGTGCACGGTGTCAAAGGGGGCCGCAACAGCACATGTCCCGCCCTTGTACTTTCCCAGCCGGCAGCCGACAGTGTTGTCCTCCCCGTCCACCCCGACTCCCACCAGAAACTCACACTTGTTACGATACTCGGTCTGCAGGGCGGGCAGAAGGAGGCAGAGAGACACAGCTGACCTTACCCTGGAGCCCACCACTTGTGCATGGAGGGCACCACAGTGAGAGAGAGTGGGTGGGTGATGGCCATGTGTGAGAGGCCCCAGACCCTCCACAGGACACGGCAGTCCTGGGGACAAGGCTGACAACAATGAGCAGTCTCAAGACCAACACGAGTTGTCGACGCAAAGCAGGAGGAGGGATGGGGTGAGGACAGCTTCTTTAAGGGCATGGGGTGAAGGTCTGTGGGCCTGACCTGCTGGGGCGACGGCATGATCCCCTCCAGTGGGCAGCAGGCTTTGCTGTGCTTCTGCCTCTGCGAGAGCAGCCAGGGCAGCAGGGCACGGTTGGTTTTCCCAATTTCCCTATGGAGTGAGGTGGGGCCAGGGTTAGACTCGGCCCACTGCCGCCAACCCATCGCTAGCTACTCTCCAAATGCCCAGGTACCTGGGCCTCTCCCCTTGGGCCTCACTGCCCCCACTGATAACACAGCGTACCTACTGGCTAGCTCCCTAGAGCCTGTGCAGACACCCAGGATACAGACACCCTGTACACAGCACAGGGAGGACTGCGCAAGCATGGAGCTGAACAGAGTTTGGTGTCAAGGGGGTGACTGTGTCCACACTCACTTGGCGAGCTTCTGCAGCACCTGTTCACACTCAAGCCGCTTCCGATCAAGCTGCTCCGCATAGGGCACAGTCCAAAGAGGGGTCACTACGTCAGCCACGCTTGTGGCTGGTGCCTCACCCTCATCCTCACGCTGTCTCTTCCTGGCCATGGGATCCGCCTTGGGCTTGGCCAGACGCACGCTGAGAGGGCGGCCCTTCCAGAGGGCACCGTGCAGCACACGCAAGGCCTTGTCCCGCTCAGCAGCACTGCGGAATGTCACAAAGGCGCAAGGAGGTTGGCCAAAGAGTTTGGTTTTATGGGGCTGCAGGCCAAAGCGTCCCAGAAAGCGCCGGACATCACTGAAGCTGGCATGGCGTGGCACGTTCTGCAGCTCCAACTTGAAGATCTCAGAAGTGAACAAGTCGTCCCTGATGTAGTTGTAGAGCCCAGACTGAGGCCCTGACTCAGCAGGTGTCCCAGTCCCCTGTTCTTCCTTCTTCTCCTCGTGAGAGGTTGGGGCTACAGAGATACCCAGAGCACTGCTGCTGTCCTGGCCGTAGCCCTCCATTGTCCTCAGGCTCTGGGTAAAGACAGGCAGGGGCTTGGATGGTGGCTGGACTCCAGGTTCTCACCGCCGCACATCCAGACCTCCAGTAGTGCAACCCACACCCAGCTCCACCCCCTTTCCATCATCCTCAGCTTCCACTCCCTTCCTCTCCTATCTCAGCCCTCATCACCAAGAATTCCCCACCACGCCCCCACCTTCATCTCCTCCCATTAAGTCAGCAACCTCTGCCACGTGTCTCTCGCCAGAATCTCCCTTCAATGTACCTCATTGTCGAGCTTGTCATTCATTGTCCCGTCCATCCGCTGCGTGGACTGAGAGCCCCACGAGGGCCGCCTCACCCTGGGCCTGGCGCACCGGAAGCTCTCAAAGCGCTGGTTTAGCGCCCCGAGGCCGCCCCCGCCCGGCTCCAAGCCGGGGGCGGGGCTGGAACCCTCAGCGCTCAGGTCCCAGTCTCAGACGTAGGGTGCACGGCCCGCCAGCCAAGGCCCCGCGCCAGCCAAACGCCCGGCCGGTCGCTATCCCGACAGTCAGCGCGTGCACGCCAGGCAGTGCGTCTCTATCATTTTGGCTTTCGATACGTAATCACTGAGCGCCGGCTCCGACTCCGGCGTCTGGCTGCCGCTTTAGCGAGCACAGGGACCGCGCGGGGCCGTGGGGCGGAAGTGCGCGTGAAGGCCGCCGGGAGCGCACGCTCTCCTCACTGCCAGGAAGCCGGGCATGCGCCGCGGGCATTTTGGCGGGAAGCGCGGGGCGGGCCGGACAATGAGAGTGTCCGTTGCTTGAGCCAATAAAGCTGCACTGGTTTTGAATCGCGGCGCGTTTCCCGCCGCTGGGGTCAGGGGTCAGGGTTCGGGTCGCGGGGCGGAGGGAAGAGCGAGCGGGCGGGCGGGAGGCGCCGGCGCCAGACACAGAGTGAAGGAGCTACGAGTAGCCGCCGAGAGGCCCCGGAGCCAGCGAGGACCAAGCCAGCCGAGCCGCCGCCGCCGCCGCGCCGCCATGGCGGCCACCAAGGTGCGGCTGGGCCCGGGCGGGTACTGGGCGGGGGCTGGGGGCCCGGGGCGGCTATCGGCGGCCACGTGGGCGGCCCGCGCAGTCGCCGCCAACCCCCGCTGGCCTGCGGTCTCGCCGCTTGCGGGTCTCCGTTGCGCGTCGCCGTGGCGCGTCTCCATGGCGCAGGGTCGCGTTGTGTGGAGTGCGGCCTGGAGACCTTCGCGGGTGAGACGCACGGGACCTAGGGGCTCGGGCCCGGGGGCTGCGGGGCGCCCGCGCGACCTTGGGGCGGCCCCAATGCTCAAGCTCTTTGGTCTCGTGTTCACTTGACTGCACGCCTAAGGACGCAGGGTTGGCGAGTGGTTTCCTCCGACTCGGCCCACTTTCGGGCTTTCTAACAAGACCTTGCATCCCTCCTTTCTGTAGTTTGCGCAGCACTTCATTCATTCTGTGCTAGTCTCGAACCGTCACAGGCCTCTGCGGCGGAAGCTCTTGCGTTCCAGCAGGGTCCTGGACGCGCCGACCCAGGGTGGGGGCGGCTTTGTTGGCAGCGGGTGTCTGCTTTGCTGACTTGACTGCGGCGGAGCCGCAGTGCTGTCCCACGAAGGAAAGCAGCGAAGGGCTTATCTTTTCTTTTTCGGCTTGAGTCTGGTAATGAAGTGTCCAGATTTCTTACAGTCTTATAGATTATCAAGCCACGTGTTCTACACGAGTTGAACCTAAAATAATATCCTTTGTGCTGTATAATTCTCTAAACTGGACCTGAATTTAATGGCTCTTATTTGTACGATTCCTTTGGATTTAATTTCCGGACCAAGATAAAGTTGACAGAACTGTGGTTTCCTTTTAAAAACTGGCAGTCGCAACTTTTTCTTCTAGTAAGCAAGTGTACACATTTTTCTCAACCAGTAAAAACTCAAAGGGTTGCTTTTTGATTTAAGGGTAACATTGTCCTCTTCAGTCCATTGTGTCTTTTATAGTCTACACTTGGCAGTATTGTTATCCACGTTTTATAGGTGAGGACAGTGAGGCTCAAGGAAATGGGGCAGTTTCTCCCAGGCCACTGGGTTAATAGGCCGCTGAGTTTTAGGAGCCCCAGTCAGATGTGATTCATGCATCTGGGGTGGGTGCTGAAGCCTGGTGTGTTTCACTGTGCTGGACAGACATGCAGACTTTCCTAGTGTGAAAGGCTGTGACCTTAATTTCTTGCTTTGGGGTGAGGCCATTAGGGACGGCCAGTTAGGGCTGCCCACTGTGGGACCTGGTGAGCCTGGCTTGCAGGCCAAGCTCACTGCCTTCCATCAACTCTGCACACCCCCCTCCACAGGACATCCATGAGGACCACGACACCTCCACCGAGAACGCAGATGAGTCCAACCACGACCCCCAGTTTGAACCCATAGTTTCTCTTCCTGAGCAAGAAATTAAAACGCTGGAAGAAGATGAAGAGGAGCTTTTCAAAATGTAAGCTGATCTTGCTTCAGGAAGAGATCTGTTTGGTTTAAGACGGAAATTGTGGTTTTTATGGGTGCTAAAGTCTTGGCCTGACCTTTAATTGGACTGAGGCTGAAGAAAGGGCCTGGAATTGTGTGATGACTAATCCCATGTGGAAATCAAGGCTTCTGGTAGAGTCCACTCATGAGGTAACTCCTCACCACTGCCCTGCAGCCAGCACCGTGGAGGACACAGGCACTCCTGCTATCCTGTCGCTGCTGCTCTTCCTGCAGTGGCGCACCACCGCCCCGCTGACTCGCGAGGCCTCTTTACTTCTGTTGAGCCCGGAGTCTCTACCATTATTGTTATCTTTCATCTTTTACTACTATCTTGTTTTTTTGCCATAGATTGTGGCAGTCTGAAGCTTGTGAACCCCTGATTCATTGTTTTTAATGCACAAAATTGTGCCTGGTGTTACGGAGAAAAGTGGGTGGTGGTGTAGTTACTGAGATTACTTTTTAAAAATTACTCTAAATGTGCATCTTGGCTCCTTCAGTGAGACGCTGTAGGGCCAGTGTTTGTTTTGTTTTGTTTTGTTGGGGGGTGGGTGGCATTGTTTTTGAAGCGGTGCCTACACTAGCAATGTGTTACTGAGATGTCTGACAGAGTGGGGGCCTGTGGCCTGTTGGCTAAGCTCATATTGCAGGAGATGTTAAAAGTCAGTGGGAATATGCTGTAGTGTTGCCCCTGTTCAAGTTTGTGGGACTCCCTGCCCCCGTTCAGACCTATCCTGGATACCAGGTTATGGTTTAAGTGCTTTGCCCTGGATGGGGCAGGGGAGCAGAAGCCATCACCAACACTGGGCACCCTTAGAGGCAGGGAGACCACCTTCCCACAACTCCCAAGGGCCTGGGAAAGGAGAATTACGTGCTCCCCTTTGGTTTCGGAAGATGGTGGGCATCTCCCTGAAGACACTCATTCTCCAGGGCTCTGCCTGGCCCAGAAATGATGCTGCAGCCAGGGGCTGGCTCCTCCCAAGAGTGAGGACTGCTGGTGGCACTGCTGCTGTCACCTCCTTGTCCCTGCGGGGGTAGAGGTGCTCCTGGTGTCCTGGTCATAGGCCCTTCCTGAGGGAAGAGAGGCCAGCAGGTCTGGCCTTTGCATCCGGGCCCTCGGGGCTCTAGGTCAAAGTCCCTGAGACATCCTTGTGAGAACATGCTGCCACTGGAGCCCCAGGGCACCAGGAAGCCCCTGCACAGTGTCCGGAGACAACACGCTCAGCAGGCTCAGGGCAGCTGCTTCGCCAAGGAGTCAGGTCTTTCTGTTAGAAAATGTTCTTTTTGTCAAGTTAAAACTTGGAATTTGCTTCTTCAGTCTTTTGGTGACAGTTTGGCATGTAGTTTTTAGAATGTAAAAATACAGTCATTTGTTTAATGCCCAGAAAATAAGTGTTTTTCTCAAGTAAGTGTTTGACTCTTCTGACTTTTTCTGTGTGTCTAAGCTCTTAATGGCTTTTCTTGAAGGCGGGCAAAGCTGTTCCGATTTGCTTCAGAGAACGATCTCCCAGAATGGAAGGAACGAGGCACTGGCGACGTCAAGCTCCTAAAGCATAAGGAAAAAGGGACCATTCGCCTCCTCATGAGGAGGGACAAGACCTTGAAGATATGCGCCAACCACTATAGTAGGTGACCTCTCGGGTGTGTGTTTTTATTCCGAGTCCCCACACTCTGCATTGGGACAGCTTCAGACCTTGGAGCAGCCTGCTTTCGGGGCTGTGCTGGGAACCCAGGAGCGTACTGGTACATGGGGTGCTTGCTCACAGTGTGTTTTTTTAATTTAAAATAGGAAATGAGTTTTCCCAACGTGCCTCAGAACTCAGAGCAGACCTGCAGAGAAGCTAACCGCGCACAGGGGTGTGGAGTCTGGGCAGGCGGGACCAAGGGGGCTGGATGCAGAGCCCCAGTGTGGGCTTGGGACCGGGCTCCGCCTGAGGGCGTGTGAGTGCATCTGTGTGTGCTCGTGTGCATCTGTGTGTGGGGCGCCTGGGCGGCGGCCTTCCCACCCTTCGGTGTGTTCTGTCCCCACATAGTGTCCCCTGAGTGGGATATGGGAGTGGAATGGGGTGGGAGAAGGTGGCTACTTTTTCACTTAATGTGAAGCTTCACAGGAGTGGGTGGGGCTGCAGGAGGCCCTTGGCACGTGGGATTCCATAGTTCTGGGCTTAGTGGGGTGTGGGGTTTTAGGGTTAGCCACGCAGGGCCCAGGCTGCGACGATGTGACAGTGAGCTCATCAGTCTTTGGCTGCTGACCTGTCGGGCAGTGCTCTGAGAATATGTGTCTTCGGAAGCTAGTGTGTCCTGGGTTTGGTTCCTAATGCCAGATGGGGCCCCTTGTCTGTCTGTGCCCACGGGGTGAGCGCTGGCGGGAACCAGAGCGGGATGGCCCTCAAGGGTGATGCGGAAGAATGGATGGGCTTGCAGAGGCCCTGCAGGCGGGAGGGTCCTCTTCGTATCACAGTTGCTTCCGCCCTGGTCCTTGCCCACCAGCCCAGTTTGAATTGCTTCCTAGGGGTCTTTCTGACACCTGTGGTTTTTTTAGAGCCTTGCCAGGTTGCTGGGTCACTTCCATGTGAGTTGCAAGTGGGTTCTGGGCCTGGTGCACACCGTAGGCCCTTGGACCGGGTGTTTGGCGGCAGGAGAAGGCTGTGCACAGCCTGTATGGCACACGGGCTTGTGGGGTGTCCGAGTTGGGGCTGGGCAGCTGTGGTGATGGCTGTGCAGTGCCAGAGATCTCCATGCCCCAGAGTCCTCTGCCGCTGGTGTACTGCCAGGCATGGCACTGGGGTGCTTCTGTTCTTTGGGGAGCTGGTCTCCCTTGTTCCCCTTGGGTTTGCATAGAGCCTGAGGAAATGGGGTAGGTTTGCTTATTCCAGACCATCATGGCTGTGTCTTCCATGGCATGTGACTGTGCCACAAGGATCTTGGCGCCCACTCTGGTATCCTTGTCCCTCCCTGCTGGTCTCCCTGGACAGTATGAGGCTGTGTTGGTTTGACTGTGCATCTTTCTGGGTGATCACCCCACTTCCCAGCTTCTGGCTGTCTGCTGACCCCCACCTCCCAATGGGCAGGTCCCCAGTGGTGTGGCCGAGTGTGGCCACAGCCATGTGGTAGACACCCTTCGCAGGAAGGGCTGGGTCTGGTTGGCATCATGCCCTCGTCTGACCTGGGTCTGGGGGCTGCAGCTGGAGGCTGGGTATGATCGGCTACATTGGCTTTGGAGCCCTTGTCTGCATTGGGATTAGAGACCGTCGCTAAGGTGTCTTCATAGTCAAGGAGCAGGCCACCCTGTCCCCAGATTTAGGGTGGTCCTGGTATAAAGAGAATGTGGGCATTTTTAAAAGAGGTTTGGGTAAATTCCAGATTGTCCTAAATCATCCCTGTTTTGACCAAAGTGGGGTGTTGTGTTGGTGGCCAGGACCGCAGCTGTGGTGGGTGGCCGGGGTAGTGAGCTCGCTGCGTGGCAGTGGGCATTGTCCTCACAGGGCTTCTCCTGCAGTTACGCCAATGATGGAGCTGAAGCCAAACGCAGGCAGTGACCGTGCCTGGGTCTGGAACACCCACGCTGACTTTGCCGATGAGCGCCCCAAGCCGGAGCTGTTGGCCATCCGCTTCCTCAACGCTGAGAGTGAGCAGGAGGGTGGGCGGGCCTCTGGGCGGGCCGACTGCTGCCGCCTGTTTTACACTGTAGCAGCGCCATCACTCTTCGGGGAGAGGTGACGGTACCCGGGAAGCTGTTTGGGGGACTGTTTCTGCCCTGCTGTCTGGTGGCCCCTCAAGGAAGGGATCTAAGTGCAGCCAATCTGTGTGCCCTCAAGGCCACCCCCAGACCGAGTCCACGAGCAGTGCTCTCCCCTGCTAACCTCAAAGGAGGCCATGCCAGCTGGTTTTCCCTCACCATCACCTGGGTGCCAGCAGGGCTGTGCTAAGATCCACCTCTCCCCTGCTTGGGTGTCTTTCCAGCCCAGATTGTCAAAAGCTGTGCCCAGTGGGCCCTGGGGGACTTGGGTGGGTGCTGGGGTCCAGTGGCCTAGTAGCTCACCATCCGGTGCTGAGTGGACCTCACTTCTGCTTTAGGAACGGGGCCTGCCCAGCGTCTACTTTCACCGTGAGTGGAGATCAGAGTACCTGAGGAGGAGGGCCCAGGCCCTTGGTTGCATGAAGCCACCACACTGTGCTGCTGTGCCCAAATTGTTACAGAGTCAGATGGAAGGAGACGGCCCAGCACGGCCACTAGCCTCGGCAGGGACCCAGGAGACAGTCACTGCACGGTCTAGGCAGAAGTGGGCCCGGGGCCGCGTTAAATGGCCCAGCTTGTCCTTAGGTCAGAATGGCCGTGAGACGAGCCCTCTGGGTTCTGGCTCTTCACGTTCATTGGGCTTGTCCCCTTCACTGCTCCGGGCTCTGAGGAAGTCTCTCTTCTTTCCACAGATGCACAGAAATTCAAGACAAAGTTTGAAGAGTGCAGGAAAGAGATTGAAGAGAGAGAAAAGAAAGGTGATGCGGTGTTGGTGGGTGGGGGCCTGCTTGCAGACTCACTCTGCACCTGGCTGCAGTCCCAGGCAGGTGCTTTTTTCGTCTGCCACAGAAACATTCCAGAGTGCTGGGACTGCCTTGACCTGTCAAGGGTGACGCAGCTGCCCTGGGACACGGTGCTTTCTGGGGAGGGAGCTGGCTGCCCAAGCCCCAGGTGCATGCTCGCTGGTCTGGCCTTGGGGCACTTGGCAGGTGAAGTCACAGTGTCTGACTGGAGCCCTACGGAGGCTGAATGGGCTTCGAGAGGTGCTCATGGTCACTTGCTTATTCAGGGCCTGACAGTGGCCGCCATAGCAAGTGATGACCAGATGTGACTGAGCAGACTGACCGAGGTCCCAGGTCCGAGTGTGTGTTTGTTCAGGTGGCTCCGGAGACACCCGGTAGAATGGCCTGTCCTGTGGGGCGCGTGTCCTGGGCTCACATGGGGCAGGTGCATCTGGCTACAGCGCGGGCTGGGGAGAGCGGTGCTTCTCTGCTTTCTTACTGTGCCCCTGTGTTTTAGGAGGATCGGGCAAAAACGAGAATGCCGAGAAAGTGACTGAAAAGCTAGAAGCGCTTTCAGTGAAGGAGGAGAGCAAGGAGTCCGAAGATGAGGAGACCAAGGAGAAAGCCGAGGAGAAGCAATAAGTCCTCTGCCCTTGTTTTCTGTTCCTTCCTTCCTTTTCCTTTTTTAAAAGAGAATTTGCCCTGGCCCTTTTCGGTTTGTTTTTATTCTGTTTTGTTTTTACAAGGGACTTTATATAAAGAACTGAATTCTAGCATTCAGGTGTTTTTTTTTTTTTTTTCTAAGTTTTTGCCCTATCGAAGATGACTTCAGAAAATCCATTCCCCAGTCATGAAAATGTACTGTGCTGACTTTCTTTTCCATAGTGGAAACACTTATTTATAGTCATCGAAAGTAGTGAATAAACGACACGTTGGAAACCCTCATGGAGGGCAGGACCGTGTGTGCGCCGGCCTGCACTGGCTCCAAGGCGTGGGGTGGCGCTCTGGGTCTGACCCTGCTGGTCATGCTCGTTCTGTCCTGGACTTGGGGCTGCCATGGGGCAGCTGGGCTGGGAGAGACCAGTGCTGGGTGCTCTGCCTCCTGAAGGCCTGATGTGCCTCTGCCCTGTGGTGAGGAGTGGGAGGCCCTTTTTTCTTTTTTGCCTTTGGGGAAGTGAAAGGGAGACCACCAAATTTCTTGGCTTTGGTACAAGGAGGCCAAGCAGACCTCCATCCAGGCTTTGGCCAAGGCCGTCCGCTCAGCCGGCAGCCAGGGACGGACCAGTCCCACAGCATGCACGTGCAGTTTGTGGCAGTGTGTCGGCAGGGCTCAGCCCCACCGCCGCCATCGGAGAAAACCACTCCATCCTCTTTCTCCCGACATCTCCATCTGGGTGGAATCATGGATACCTGCAATAGCTCTAAATAAAGGATGCTTTCAAGAATGCAAATGGGTTAGTGCCATTTGGGGGTTTGGCTTGTAGGTGGGGTGCCTCTGTAGACACCCTATGTAGGGGAAAAGGGTTTTCAGTGTGCTGGCAGGCTTTTGAAAGCACGTGGTCTCACCTGTGATGGTATGTTCCCGGGGAGGTCACCTCTGAGGAGCTATGTGTGGCCTCCCCACCTTCCAGTGGGGGTGGGGAGCAGAGGTGGACCGACCCAGAGTGGGTACTCATGCCTCCTGTGTTTGCCATTAACACCTCCCAGAGGTGCTTCAGTGTGCTGACGTCTGCTAGCAGGGCCCTATGTGTCCTGTGACATTTGTCCACTTTAAACTGTCTGTGGTCAGTCTGGGGGGCACACCTCTAAAGGAAGCCACTCAGGTTTTAACACTGAAGACATCACTGGCCAGCTTCGAGTGTCCTGGCAGCCCTAGGCCTCAGGGCACAGGTCAGCATCAGTGTGGTGGGTTTTCCCACCCCAGGAGGGACACCGAAACTTGGACATCTCACCCTGCTTGAACTGCAATTGTGCTGTGAAGGGCAGGTGTCTCTTCCCTGTGAGGCCTCTGTTGGGTGATTAGGTGGAGGGTCTCGGGCTTGATCCTCTGGGGAAGGGGGATCAGATACCCCTTTCAGCATAGAATGGATGTTTAACATTGTTTTAGGCCCCAGTAAAAGACAACTCCCCACTTGATGTAAAACCCCAGGTTGACTTCCTCTTGGGTAGGAAGATGTAACTGCAAACTGGGAAGGCCCCTTTGAATTGGAGGACAGAGGTGCGCCGTGACCAGGCACATTTAAACTTGCAGCTGTTACCAGCACATGCAGAAGGCGCTACCACAGGAAACGTGGATACAGTGGGGTTCCTTTAACCCTACAGCCCCCTGTCCCCAGCCAGCAATTTCAGGTGGGCTCCCTGTGGCACAGAGGTGGTGAGAAGCCAGGATTGGAGTGCTAACAGTATTGGGGATGAAAAGAGGTGAGGTGACCTATTACCTTTTCATTCCTGTGAAGAGCAGGGGTGTTGGGGAAACTGCTTTCATTTTTCTGAGAACTTAATTCCTTGGGTGGAGTATTTCTGGGCTGTGGCCTCACTGGGTCCATCCCACCTGGGATCCTTTCTGCCCAGGCAATCTGCAGGCACCTCAGTAAAGAGGCATGAGTGTCCTTTCTTCCTATGACCAGCATTTGGCACTACACAGCTTTCAGCTGTCCCAGCACCCCTACACAGCAGAGCCCCGCTCTGGATGCAGTGGGTGAGTCAGGAGGAGCCTCTACTGATGAGTGGGTCTGTGTCCAGGCCCAGTTACCAGAGGAGGGGTGGTCTATGAACAGGGCTGCAGAAAGGCAAGAACAAGGGTGACGCCGCCGTAGGGCACGGTTTGGCTGGAGTGGTGTCCCTTGTCCCGAGGGCCTGTTTGTAATCTTAGGCCACCATAGGGCTATGTTATCTCAGCCATGAGGAGGGGTCTGCTCCAGATGGGGCCTGTTCTTTGTTCACCTTGGCACTCTGAATCCACCCTACTGCCCCAGACCTCCCCTCAGAGCTAGTCCCCCATGCCATGGGCCTCCTGCAGTGGGTAGAGGCCACAACGGGGTGTTGTGGGAGAAAGCGCATCACCATATCTGCTGTCAAGCTGCCTTAACGCCGCGGTCTGGCCCCGGTCCCGGGTTCCTTAATAGCAGCTCACAGCCCGCAGCCTTCGAAGCTGAAGCCTTAAGAAGGCCCACCTACCAGCAAGGAGGGGCCTCCAGGCCAAGAAACCCCAGAGCATCTGGCAGCTTGGCCTGAGGAGATGGCCGCTGTGTCGCGGGCGGCCACGGATGGAGACACTTGCTGATGCCCACTGGAGAGGCTGTGGAGCTTGACCGAAGTCCCAGTCTCCTAGAGCCTCTGCACACGCTGCCCCGCTGGTCCCGCCCATCCCTAGCGGGCTCTGCAAGGCCGCTGGTCCACCTTAAGCGGCGTCTGCGCGGGCGGGGGGATTTCCTGCTGGAGGTGGGCCTGACCACGGGCCTATCCCACGCAGGGGCAGAGTGCCCGGTGCTTCCTGAGGGGTGCTCCACCCTGTCCCATGGAGGCTGAGGGTCTCGCCTGGCCTTGGACCTTTCACCTACTCATACTCTCAAGCCTGCAGCTTGGGCCAGGAGACGGAGGGACCAGTTCCCCACTGTCCTTACCCTGCCTGCTAGCTGTGCTCGGTCTTGCCGAGTGGCCAGAGGGCTGTGAGGTGGGAAGGGGATAAACAACCAAGGTGCCCCTGCACAACTCCCGACCCCTCGTGAATACCGGAGTGGGAGGAACTCCAGATGAGAGGGGTCTGGAACTATCGAGAACAGCGTGGAATAGGTCCATCAGCCTGCCCACAGGGACACAGTGTTCCGAGGTGTTTAGGGACAGGTCTGTGCAAACAGAGGCCTAGGAGGGGACTGACATGCCTCAGCACCAGAGCCTGCGGGCTGGGAACAGGGTGCCTGGCGTTCTCTATGATATGATGTCCACCTGGTGGGCATGGCCTGCAGTGTGCTACGGCTGCGGTTTCCCAGAGCCATAGGCAATCGCCGGGCGGGTGCAACAAGGCGAGGAGTGGTGGGTCTGAGCGCTGGGCAGAGCCCGACCAGGTTCAGCCAAGTGCGCATGCGCGCGCGCGCGCGCGCGGCTGGGCGCTCTGGGGTCCCAGGCTTGGGTGGGCTCCGGCATCCTGCGTCGGAAGGAGGGCGTAGTGGGACTGGCGTTTTCTCCTGCGTCCTCGACCCCGCCCCCTCATCCCTCAGCCCCGCCTCCTCGCCTCCCAGCCCCGCGCCCCTAGCCGCCGGGTCCACCTTAAGGGGCGCGCTGACATCAGCCGCCGCCGCGCCGCCCGTAGGGTGGGATTTCCTCCTCCTCTGCCGCCGCCGCCGCCGCCGCCGCGGGTCCATCGCCGAGTCCAGCCCGCCCCGCCAACCCCGGCACGACCCCGCCGGCCCCGCCCGTCAGGCCCCGGGGAGGGATGCGGCGGCGCGGCGCCCAGGATGCCCCGCAGCCCCGGGACGCGCCTCAAACCCGCCAAGTACATCCCAGTGGCCACAGCCGCCGCGCTGTTGGTCGGCTCCAGCACCCTGTTCTTCGTGTTCACGTGAGTCCGCCGCGTCGCCGGGGGACGCAGGGGCCACAGCCGGGTCAGAAGGGGCTGGGACTAGGTACAGGGACCCGGCGCAGCTCGGAGGGCTGGCCAGGGCAAGGCTGGCACCAGGGTTTTAGGCATCGTGAGTCCTTACCCTGGGCTGAGGCTGAAGCCGTGAGTGTGCTTTTCCTGTGGCACCAGGGAAAGATGAGTCCTGTGTGTGGGGACACGAATGTCGGGTGGGCACCTAGTGAGTGTGCCAGGCAGGCCCTAGGTGTGAAGCACTGGGCCTGGACAGGAGAATGTGCAGTGGGTGCTCAGGGTGTGGCTGCAGCCTGCCCCTTCCTGCAGTCTTCAGGAGGCGACGTGGGCTGCCTAGAGCCACCAGCTTTTCCTTGGAGGAGCTGAGGGCTCTCTTGGGTCCCCTCTCGGTGTCTGGCCAGGGGCCAGAGCCAGGTTGTTCCCAAGTAGGTGTGGTATGGGCTGTTTCTCATGTGTCTGCCCCACCACAGCCGTTGGTGACACTGGCCTGGCAGTGCTTTCCTCCGTTCTTCCTTGACCTTCTTCATGGGAAAGCCTAGTGATCACAGCTGGAGGGCCTAGGCCAGGCCACACCCAGGGACCCTGGTCACAGCGGGCATTGGAACTCTTGAGGCAGAAAGCAGGCAGGGCTCTGGGCTTTTGCAGCTTTAGCTTCTTCAGCTGAAATGCAGGCTGGTTCACAGACCAAAGTGGTGGGCTGAGGATACAACTCCCTCCGCATGGTTGTGGGTGCTTCCCAAATCTCCTTCTGGCACAAGGAGAGGTTGGGACACCAGACTTGAGCCATGCGGGTCTGTGACCACCCCCTTCCACGAGTCCCAGGCTCAGACACAGCCCAACTGACCAAAGCAACAACCATTTAAAACTTCCTGGGGACTGGGGGCCTCAGGTGTGCCTGAAGCCAGTGGGGCCTCTGTGCGGAGGCGGGTCAGCTCAAGTGTGAGTGAACTTGGAGCAGGGTGGGCAGGGGCTGGCATGGCACCCTTTCACATTAGTAAGAGCGAGGGTGGCTGCCTTGTGTATGGTGAGTCTGCGCTGGGTGCCTGTGGAGGCGGGAGAGCCCACTACCTGGACTCTGGAGCTGGGTAGGTGCCATAGGCTGCCAAGAGCGTGTTTAAAAAAGGCCTGTGTGGATGGGCTTATTTCTAGCTTTGGTGGGCAGGAGTGTTCTTGTCACTCAGAGGCTGCTGCCTGTGGGGCAGAAAGGAGAGGGGCAGGTGGGCAGCAGGCGCAGGAAGAGGGGGAAGGAGTCCTGCTGGGTTTTCTGGGGGGTTGGGGGGTGGTAGCCCAGCCCAGTCCTGGCTGGGGGTGGGTGCCTCAGGGTGGGCAGTTTCAGGGAGTCTCAGCTTTTCATTTCCTAAGTGCAACTTAGCATTTTCCTCCTAACATTCAAAGTAATACATGTTCACTACTGGGAGCTTGTGAAACGCAGGAAAAAAAATTTAAAAAGGAATTGAAATTGACTCCACTCCAGAGAGCCCATTCATCTCTTTCTCCAGGCTCACCTGGCCTCCCTGTACCGAGCTGTGTGAGATGAGCCCTTCCGGTGATTTCAGAGGACTCTTATTCGCTGTCCTGTGAACTTGACCCAAGTAGTAGGCTGTGCAGCTCCCGCACCCTTTGCACTCTGCTGTGCGCTGGGTCTTCCTTCCTCTCTTCTCACCAATGGGGGTCTGAACTCAGGGACGCCACGCTGGGAGGTGCAGGGATCCCTTGGGGTACCATAGGTGGTGCCTGCTTTCTGCCCTGTGTATGGCCCAGGAGAAGGTGCCACGTATGTCCCTGTGGCAGGATGATGGTCCAGGGGCACTAGCTGGGGTCCACGTGGAGTGGCCACCTAGCCAAGGGAGCCTCACTTA